TCATAGCAATGTACATTCACGATCACGTAAGTAGGAGTCCGACCCAAAACTTTCGATCTCAAACGCGAACGCCCAACACCGTCGGATGTCAACTTAGTGATCTAGAGGTTAAATGTTTGCGTGCGCGACCGAGAGTCTTGGCCTCGACCCTTGAGTACATGACTGTGGATGCGCAGTTCTGAGTCCCATACTAGGATGAAACTACCATCCAGTGCTTCAAGGCCTAACTTAGACCACCTCGTGATCTCAATGAAACTCAATTTTAGTAGATACCAGTTCATTGGAAGACTCCTTAATCACGAGGGGTAGTAGTTGGAACTAGTTTGAAATTACTTTGACACAGAAAAATATGTAAAAAAACTTCGTTATATTTGTCTCAAATCGACCATCTAGTCAATTAAAAGACAGTATACCCTTGACCTCAATAGGATAAAGAAATGATTTGTAGTCATCAAACAACCCCTCTCATGGTTGTCCGGAAAAAAACACTCGTAGCTTTGTTTACTACTTAAATGTAGCCAGTAGTTAGAAAAGAACAACATAGAATTTATCTCATTATTGGTCATCAAGAAAAGGTGTGATGATAGCTTCTGACACTCGGCTACTGAATTGGGAAAATCACATAACAACTACTCACACATAGAGAAGTAACTTGCAAAGAGAATATCCTTAGATAGAAATATATATTCAAATTACAATTTGTAGAAGATATCAGCTTGTAACTGGGATGTTTATGTCATTTACCTATTATTAATAAATGTACTTATTACCAAAAACGCAAATGCTATTGTCAAAACCGATGCTACATTATACAAAAGTTACCAATAAAAAGCATTGATGGTCACCAGGGTCTATAGATTAAAAAGGAAAGAGGTAACAAGCAATAAGTGGAAGTTGTATAACTCAATTGTTCATAACTTAGCGGAGTCAGCTTAAGCGCAAGCTGACAAGAATCCTATGCAATGATCTTGAACAGTGGTGGGTAGCGAAAGCAAGAAAAATGGAAAAGGCAGCGGCAATAGGTAACAGCAGACAACTGTTCAGGCTTGTCAAGGAAATCGGTATTAAGAGCTCAACTGTTAGCGAAACAATCTCAGAAAAAGATGGACATATTATACATTCACAATCCAGGAGATAGTGTGGCAGTAAATAAATCCCCAAAATAAATAGCTCTGTAAGTTTTCGATATTGGATGCTGACCAGATTAGTTTTAGTGGACTCACCTAGCTGAAGGCACACGGTCATTCATCCGCACCAGATCACGTGTGGGAACGCCGTGCTCAACATCTACTGCAATCGCTAGCCAGACTAGATCAGACAATTCCGATATATTGGCAATCGTCAAATACAACTTCTGATCTTCTCGATTCTATCTTTTGATTTCTTTTGATGGGTACGAGTTATATTAGGTGTTACTGGTAACAGCGCTGTCAAACACTAAATACCTGTGCCATCTTCAATAGGATCGATGGGCAGAACAATTTAGGGATCAGTTCAACTGGCCTTCAGCCACACTTCGGTTTCCCGCGATCTCCAGTCACCTGAATGGCAAATTAGTGTAGGTCCTCCGTCCCTTTACGAAGTTGAAAAAGCCATAGGAAATCTGAAACGAGGGAGAGCAGCAGGCCCTGACAGGTTTACTCCTGAGATTTTTAGGGATGGTGGTCCAGTATTAGCAATGAGATTAACCGAGGTCTTAGGTAGAATTTGGGAACTGGACGCAATCCCATCTGACTGGTCTCAATCACTGATTGTGCCAGTTTTTAAGAAAGGACAAAAGTCCTCTTGTGACAATCACAGAGAAATCAGTTTGACTAATATAGTGTCTAAAATATTAGCTTCAATAATACTTCGACGCCTAACCAAAGCTCGTGAAGAACAGACTAGAGAAAATCAGGCTGGTTTTCGACCTGGACGTGGTTCTATAGACCACATATTCGCACTACGTCAGGTTCTAGAACACAGACACACGTTCAGACGCCCCACAATGGTAGTATTTCTCGATCTTAAGGCAGCATTCGACTCTATTGATCGTGAGGTTCTATGGCAGTGTTTGTCACTGAAAGGAGTACCAAAGAAGTACATTAACCTTATAAAGGCTCTCTACTCGAACACAACTGGTAGAGTGAGAGCTTATGGCGAACTGTCATCAGAATTGATTACCTCAAGTGGTGTTCGTCAGGGCTGTCCACTCTCTCCATTCATGTTCAACTTTGTCGTGGACGTACTTCTAGAGATAACACTCTCCTCATCTAGATTTCCAGGGGTTGAACTTCTACCAGGAGGTTCACTTGTTGACTTAGAATATGCAGATGACATAGTTTTATTTGGTGAAGACGCTGAAAAAATGCAGAGTCTTATGACCACTCTAAGCAACAATGCAAGCATGTTCGGGATGCGATTCTCCCCCTCGAAATGCAAAATGTTGCTTCAGGATTGGGTTACATCGACACCCGAACTAGTGATAGGGAGTGAAGTAGTTGAGTGTGTCGATCGCCTCACTTATCTAGGGAGTCTCATCAACACTTGTGGTCTGGTGTGTGACGAAATCTCAGCACGGATAAGGAAGACTCCACTAGCTTTTGCCAACTTGCGTCATTTAAGACGTAAGCGAGAGATACGTTTATCAACCAAAATACGAGTTTACTGAGCAGCAGTTCGTTCCGTCCTACTTTATGATAGTGAAACATGGCCGGTAAGAGTGAAAGGCATTCGTAGGTTACTAGTATTCGATCATAGGTGTCTTCGAAACATTACTCATGTATATTGGAACCACCGAGTAACTAGTGCAGTTGTTAGGAAACAGGTACCAGGTAAGAATGGCAAACCACTTGATGAAGTAGTGAAACTTCAGTTAAGATGGCTGGGACACGTGTTACGTATTCCGAACTACCGACTGCCCCGACGTGCGATGTTTTATGGTGTAGGAGTATATTGGAAGAAGGCTACAGGCAACCAGACCAAAACATGGCACAAATCCATGAAGTCACTGAAAAGTGGACTGACCTATGTTGGTAGGTGTAGACTACCTGGTTGGGATTCGCGAGACGATAGCAACCGATGGTTAGAGACCTTGAATTACATGGCTCAAAATCGTTTGTAATGGCGCACGTGCATCCACTCTTTATGTTCTCCCAAATTCTAATCTTCTGGATTCTTCATGTCCCTGATTTTCTTTCCAAATTCACTTCACTTTATTATACTCCTTGAATAACATCTTCAAACCTTAATGCTTCCGATTACTGCTTATACTCTTACTACCTCTACTACTACGGGATTTGAATCGACAACTGCATCGCTGTGCTAATGTGGTATGGCAACTCGAACTGATGTACGTACATACGAAGTTGTACGTTGTTACTGACTGACAAACTTTCAGCAGTCTTACATAAGTTAATACTAGAGATATACCCGTCGAGATTCGTAAGTGGTTTCTTTGAACATTTCTCCCTTCTGATCTGCATAGTTCTAGGTGAATATAATTGACTAAGATATACAGTACGTGAGTCTAGAATCACTGAGCTGCATGAATACTATAGGCGTTTATACAGAGCATGTGACAGTGAATTATGGATATATTATCAATATAACGATGAACTGGCTACAAATGTGAGTGCACTTTATACTAAAAAAGCCTATCATTAAAATATAAGGACTGGAGGGGAATAGAAGGCCGATCTTATTAAAACGTCTATCTTACAACTCATTTAAAATTTATGATCGATATTTTTAAAGAAAGTTCCACAAACTTTTAATGTTTATTTCTCTTGAATTAAACTTTATCAAGTTGTCTACTTTTCAAATAATCTCAAGTGCATGATATACTGTTTAAGGTTTTCAAAAACATCTTAAGAGCGGATACAGAGCCGTTAAACCAGTATACTTTACAGTTTACCAACATTAAAACGATCGCAAAAGAGAAAGAATGTGGTATATTTGTTGAGATGTATTGCTATTGAGAGAAGTAAATGAAAATAAAATAGCTAGAGACGGTAGAAAGAGCTTGTACAAGAAACACAACCAAATAATATCCTGAATGGTATGGAAGCCTGACTTTACATCCTAATTATTAGAGATTATTTGAGAAAGTTCTTTAAAATTTTGACTGGTTTGATAAGGATGTCAACAACAAAGGAAATGCGACCCGACCCCGACCGAATTCCATGCACATTACTACATTAAGCAAAAACTACTAGGCGAAACAGGAGTTCAAAACATCTCGACACAGTTGTACACAAATTCAAAAGTACTAAATTTTGTAAGCTATCTTGAGGGATGAAACCGACCACAGCAAATGGACACTAGTACAATTAAACCTTAAGTCTTTATTTTCCGATGTCCTCATTTTGACTGTCCGCAAATTTTATTTAAAACTACTACAATTCAGATGAGAAAGCCGCTTTGAACTTCATGAGAATAACCATCTGATATAGTGAAATGGAGAGACTATACTCAAAACGCTACAAAATGTCAACTAATTTGCAACAATCATTAATAAGTCACAAGATCAGGAAATCGGTCTGCTTGAAAATTTCAGGTTACTAGCAACCTTAACGCAGTGAGATATATAAATAAGCTGAACACCATTCGTTGTAAATGTAACATTATTCAAGCAAAAGATCATAAGGCCAGAATGAGCGCTTCATGTAAAAGTGAATTTTCAATTGTGAGAAATTTATGATGTTATGATGATATTTCTTTTTAGAATATGCAGGTAAGCTGTGCTTGGTTTAACGGAATCCGCACAATAGCTTAAGCAACAAAATGTAATATCATTCGTTATAATACATAACTACTGCATTTCGTCAAATAATAGTTTGCTAAAATTCAAAAATTGCAAATGAAAACCTAAAGCAGTCACAGTAATGCACATACAAAAAGATACTAACTACATGTTATGGGTAAAATTAAGACTAAATATCAGTGCTGCAGTATAACATATTTTTATCAAACAGAATATAGGGATACTGTACAAACTGAAAATATCAAAAGATAATCAATCATGTTTTCTCTTTGTCCGATACTTTAGCTAAAGCAGACCCAATACCGAGACGTTCTAATTCTTCCGTCAGTTTCCCAGAACGATGCATATCTAAAAGAATATCACAACCACCAATAAATTCACCGTCGAAATATAACTGAGGGAAAGTGGGCCAGTCAGCAAACACTTTAGCAGCAGCTCGTAGGTCTTCATTCTCTAAGACATCATACGATGCGAACAGATCTGGATCATCTCCTTTACTTGCTTTTTCTAGAATTCCATGCATTTCTAGGATACGACAAACAGCATTGCTGAAACCACATCGTGGTTCACTGGGATTCCCTTTCATAAAAAGCACAATACGACTTCCTTTTACTAAATCAGAAACATTGTTTACAGAATTGTCTGATGGGGTATTAGAAAACTGTCTACAGATAACATAATTGAACTGAGAGAAAGTTGGTGACGCGACAAGATGTTTTGTAGACTAAAAATGTGATACAAGCAAAAATAATGCATGAATAAATATGATTAGTGTTATAATGGAGTGGGACTATCACTTACATTTTTATTGTATAATAATTAGACATTTGGATTATTGTACATTCATATTATCCTAGCTGCAAGCTTTTGTCTAGTACAGAAAATATTGTTTTGCTTTTTTTCCCTTAAGTTACTGTTAATTAACTATACATCTATTATTTCGATCTCTTTCACATACGGTATACCTATGCCCATATTGTAATTTCCGATTTATGTTTATGTGCAGTCTGAAAATTAGTCTATACAGATCACATTATCTTGATTTATTAATTCAACTGTAAAAATAGAGGTCATTTATCTACTTTGCTGTTGTTCTATTCTAGCTATCGGGCAAGCAGGTGTGGGAGAACTATATTCTGAACCAATAGGCTTTAAGTATTGATCATGGCTATTATCTCAACATCATCGAATTGTTGGTCAAAGGAAGGCCGTCGTGTCATTTGATTAGCAGATCATCAGTTTTAAATAGGCAATCTAGATGATGAATTCAATACTCGGACGCGATCATACAACTGAACATTGAATGACGACCTATTCACACGGGATCTCAACGAGTATAATGACCGGCAGAAGTGTACCTATCGCTGAAATGACTGGAGATAAATTTCAACTAGAAAGTCTTCAACCCAAAAGCTTTGTGAATCCGATTACGTTACAAAATACAAAAACAATAAATCTATTGTTTATTTTCTAGACATAGGTATTTTCAAACAAATCTTATTTTTACAGAATTACACAGATACATATATAAAAGTGTTTGGACATACCACTGCAGTCTTCAAAGATGAAGCTTTCAATGAACCACCAAGTGAAGTCAAAAGTCGTACAGGAAGCTTCAATACGAACCCCATTTCTCTAGGGTAAGACAAAAAGAAACGAAATATCCGAAGATTATTAGAATTCCCTATGGGTAACATATTCATGACTAAATTGTTTGGTTACCTTCGGGACATGAAATGAGAAGATCATCATTTCAATGTGACATGTTATTCATCCTAATTAATTATCAGTAAGGATTTGTGTAACTTGTTGAATTTCATTGACATCAAGAAACGATCTCGCGGGTGGGATCGTGGATGGGCACTGCTGGAGAGTTTCGTATTAAGATAAAACGGCCGTCCAGTACTTCCAAGTTTTCAACGGCGCTCTAACTTAGATCGGTTCATGATTTCAACATAATTATCACTTATACACCACTTTTCCCCCAATAATTTTTCTGTTTCTGAATTAAAAGTTCAGTCATATTGCTTTGACGAATCTAGATAGTATATTCAATCTATAATGTTTAAATAGCCTATTTTCCCCTTTTCGTGATTAAATATTGCATCACGCCAGTGTGACAGCAGACATGAAAACATTTTTATCAATAGAAATGTACTATATTATCATTCACCTCGAAACTTAAACACAACGAATTCGTCTCAAACAATTAACACCAGATCTCATGGAGAACTCAAATGAGGGCAACACAACAGTTGGTACATATTTCCTATATGTCTTCTCTGTCAAAACGAGTAACAAATGCATCAAAATTCACACACATAAATCAGACTTCATTGAAGTGGTTTCAATTTCGGTCTAAGAATTTCTTACTGGAACTACATGTATACTAGACGATAAAGTGGTTATTATTTTTATCAATCTATTTTCACATGAATCGTTAACCTTGTTACCGAATACCTGGACTCACTATTCTTCATGTACACTACTATTCGCGAATATGGGTTTGTTATCCTCTTATTTTTATATTTTAACACATAGATATTAGTACAAGGAGGCACCGAATACATATGCGACACACAAATTTCATTCGATATGTGTGAGGGCTGTGATACTGCCCGGGTGCCCAAACCGAAACAGGTGGTTTTCTTAGGGAGCCACTCCCCGAGCCTTCGACCTGAAGGTCTGATCCACAAGGCAGTGGAGCATCGTAAGAAGATGCAGTTCCATGGAAGCCGGTGACCAACGATTGGTTAATACGCCATTTGTTCCTTCAGGATCCTGGAGCCCATGTGCACCATTGGTTTGGGATCCGGTTAAGGCGCCAGACATTCGCTTTTCGTCCTCTCAATTTCGTAAACAACAGTAATGCCACGAGAAAGCAGTAAGTAGGACTTCCCTAGCAGAGACTATATACGCGTGGCCATGTGAGAGCATTTGGAGAGGGAGAGGGGACTCTCTCCACTCTCGGCCGTACCAGGCCATTTGGAGGCAAATGACGGGACGGCGAAGGAGGTCCTCTCGTCCCACTGGTTAGGCAGGCCACCCACCGTAGCAGGCGTAATTTTCGATAACGAAGTAACCACCTCCATTCCCCGACTATCCTCTTATTAGCAAAATAAATATACTAAAGTATTATAAATCAATAAGAATTTTATAATGAATTAAACAGTTAAACAATTACTTACGAGTTGCACAGTTGCTTGAAATTCCCTTACTGTCACAATTTACTATTATCTATAATAATCAAGAATGAAAAATATAAATGTTTATGTGAAATATGTTGTGTTTATTTGGAATGAATAAATTTACAAAGCAATAATCAGATTGAAAACTAATGAATCAATATCCCATAAAACCATAGTTCACTTTATTAATGACTGATTAACAGACAAAATCATTCATTCACAGACGAAAATAACAGTCAGACAGATATCAATTAGGTAAACAATTCAAACAAGCATCAACAATCAAACTCACTATTCACAAAATCAATCATTAAAGTGAAACCTGGTTAGGATTCAGATGCGCATAATCATCACATTATAAATATAACAAAAAATAAATGTGAATATATTATATGATCAATAATGCACATACTAGAAACTAATTTGAAGTACCATACACACACAGAATTCCGTGAAAAGAATTAATTCTGGAAAGAAAAGAAACGACGAAAAAAAAAATAATACAAGTAAGAATTTAAGACATTTTAAATACAGACAAATAATTAAGGCTAAAAACTTTCTTTTTTTCAATATTCACCAATTGTACAAATTATTAAAATCAATAAATCAAGATCAGTTAATTATTACTTTGGAGATTATGTTCAATTATTGTAATCTATAGAATATAAACTAAATTAAAACCAAGATCATTATAGAAAGTCAGATGTAGATATTGAATAAACCACAAAGAATAACAAATAGGTTGTAAATTATTTTTCTGTCTATCTATCTATCCATCTATTCTGAAATATATAGTTATGATAAATATTCTCTTTATTTCTTCCTCTTTACAGACTTTGTCAAATTAATCACTAGATATATACTTACTGGAACTACAACATATAAATCGGTAGGAAATTCATATTAATTAGACAATGACTAATAAATTTGCTGAAAATGCAGGTTTCCAACGGTGGTCTAACATCAATCGGTTCATGATCTTAATCAAAAACTTAATAATCTCCATAACCCCTATACTGATAATCCTTTCAGAAAGTTTTTGGTTCATAAAACAAAAAAGTGACATACATATATGGGAGAATCCAAACAATAAAAATAGGAAAGATGGAGTACAATAAAATGTCCTATTAATAACTAAATCTATATCTTATTTTATTACTTTTAATTTATCTCATATTATATGGACAATAATGATAAATTTTCATTTGTTATTTGGTCTAAATATATAATGAGCAACCAACTTGTTTAACAGAACAATACAAACATTTATTTCATACGTTCTAATTCCTTGATAAATTCAAGTAAAGTGGGAACAATATTTGCAGAGTAAAATGAATTCATTATGGTTTAACACTTTGCATCAGTTGAAAATGGTCTAAATTCACATTAGTAATGTTATTCTAAAGAAATTTTATTACACACCATAATCAATCAAGTTTAGTTCAAAGGGAATTAAGAAACCAGAAGAGGAAACAACATATTTAATATAATAGTTAAAATTGATTAGTATTTATATGCTGAAAATGAAATCATAAAATAAGAGAAAGAAGTGAAGTTGTAAAATAAGAGACAACCAACAGAAACAAGCTTTGAACAAATCAAGGGAGCTAGTTAACATAAAATTCAAGTTAATTTTGTTATAATACTAATAATAATGTAAATCTAGGCCATTTGCATCTGATGAGTAGCCCTGAAACAGTGAAAACGTTTATTTATTTGTCTTTATATTATGTATGTTGTGACAAGTTTAATTTATAACACCCAACCAGATCATCTAATTTCATCAACGACTATAACCTAAGGACATATTTGGTTAATGGATTTTTCAAATATCATATCAGATCTACATACTACAGACGCATACATACACAATTCCATCATATTTCACAGCAAATGACGCATACTCATACAACATTATTCCTATGACTGGACAATTTGCTTAGTACATGATTTGAAACTTAGACCAGACTACTGAGCGAAACGCTGGATTAATTTAAATTGCTAATTTTCTACACATAAACTTTCCTTTTTATGTATTATACTTAATCGATCCTATACCACTGTGAGACTATTTATTCATATTTAAAGGAAAATTCTTAAGAAAATTGTTTATACTTATTCTGAAAAGCCATCATGAACACGTCACTTATCAATGTCATTAATCTGTTAAGTTAAGGATAAGGCACTAGGGTGAATTGTTGGAATTGTGAACTCCAGGATGTTAGTGAATATCAATAAGAAATACGATAAGTTATACATATCGAGTGAAAGAATCAATTAACTGACGTTTAGAATCTAAACTATTATATACATATAATATTTTGAAAACACAGATATGGTAGTAGACATAAAATGGTATGTAATATCAAATAATCTAATGATTGAAGAAAATACGCAATATTTCCACATTTTAATAGTTATCCAATTAATTCTTAAACTATCTGGAGAACTGCTGACAAAGAACTAGTTAATTGATTATCCTAAATATTAAAAAAAAAACAATAAAATTGAAGTTGAAAAGCATGAACTCAAGGATGACTGACCGACTACTTACAACATAAAAAATTACTCAACTGGGAAAGAAATACATATTTTTAAAATGTAACAGATACTCCATCTAAAAAAATCAGTAAATGGTAATTATAGATTATGGTAAACTTAATATGTCGACAAAAACAAGCACATGAACACAAACAGACACACAATGAGTAAAAAACGAGAAACACTCAATATAATTTTTTATTTCTATGAATTAGATATATTGAATTTTATCAATAAAAATCATACAACTGAATAATGACTATTGTAATACTGTCTACATTGATCCTGGTATTTTGTTTCGTTGAACAATGGGGCGGGGTGATCAGCTCTAGATGCACCAAATGAGAATGTAGGATAATTTTCGTCTTAGAAAGAAGGGTTTAATTCTCTTGTAGGTACTAAAATAAAACCTAGTGTCAGAATACATAAACATGCACATGAAGTAGAATGAACCTAAATTATTACGACTACAAGACAACAATAACAACAATAGTACATTACGCATAGACAGATTTATGTATAAAAAAGGGGGAAATCCATAAAAGGAGACGTATGTGTACACGTCAACACAACATTAAAATGATGTGAGATAGTAGAGGGGAACAGTAAAAAAAGAGGGAAATAAAAAGGAAACAGATTAACTAAATAGCGAAAATAGTAAACCAACTTGATGCAGATAATAAAGACAACAACAACAACATCAACAATTGAGATTTAATCTGACCAAAATTGTAAATGTCACAAAAACACACACATTAAAATGATACTAATAATAATAAAATAAACGAGGCAATGAAATAATAAGTTTCAATGAAAAATAATAGGAGATGAAAGTTACACATCTCTAAGACCAATTGAAACTAAACCTATTTAATTCACATAAAATGTATGTCATAATATCAAGTATTCGAAAAAGGAAAGAAAAATAAGCAAAACCAGGTGAAAATGAATGAATATGAAAATAAATCTATACATATTTCATTATCGGAATCAAAGGATATACACACACTTCCAGGCTCTAAAATGTTTTTTTTGTCTGTTCATCTATCTGAAAATTATTAGTTATAATAACATTCTCTTCATTTCTTCTTTTTTGTACATAGAAAGTTAAATCATGTAAGAGGCAGTCAATTGAACTTGTAGTAAAATACACATTATTAAAATGTGTCACCAAAACTATAACCACTGACTCTACTATTCAAACTTTGTCGACTTCCATGAAAACTGAATTGTTCAAAATATGGTCCATCGACAATTCGATTCATATTATCTTCATCATCGTTTGGAGGAGTCAAATCGACTGATGTATCCTTGAATTCATCTGGAACATATTTTGTGTCTTTTTCATCGACCACGTCTGGTTTCCATGGTGGTTGAATATCTCTGAAAGTGTAGATGAGTAAGTAAATAGGTGTTTTAATATATATATATATATATATATATATATATATATATATATATATATATATATATTAGTTTTGCCCCCAAATGCCCTAGTATGGCCGAGAGTGGGAAGAGTCCCCTCTCCCACTCCAAATGCTCTCACATAGCCACGCGTATATAGTCTCTGCTAGGGAAGTCCTACTCACTGCTTTCTCGTGGCATTACTGTTGTTTACGAAATTGAGAGGACGAAAAGCGAATGTCCGACGCTTTAACCGGATCCCAAACCAATGGTGCACATGGGTTCCAGGATCCTGAAGGAACAAATGGCGTATTAACCAATCGTTGGTCACCGGCTTCCATGGAACTGCATCTTCTTACGATGCTCCACTGCCTTGTGGATCAGACCTTCAGGTCGAAGGCTCGGGGAGTGGCCCCCTAAGAAAACCACCTGTTTCGGTTTGGGCACCCGGGCAGTATCACAGCCCTCACACATATCGAATGAGATTTGTGTGTCGCATATGTATTCGGTGCCTCCTTGTACCAATATCTATGTGTTAAAATAAATAAATAATATATATATACGGTTAGCAAGCCATGGATATGAAATATTCTTTCCCGAAGAAAAATGAAACAAAATAACAAATTTAGAAAATCACGTGAGTCGTATTTGTCATTAAATTTATAACTTAAATCTCAACAACCTAGCAAACTATGCTGAAATGTCGTCCCTGAGAAAAGTCACTGAATAAAGTATGTACAATTCATTTGTATTAGTTTAAATCTTCCTACTGATGTTTAGGATTGCAATTAATCAGTCTCGTTTCGCATACGTGTATCCTGTATGAATTGTCACTAATTTAAAAACACTATAAACAGAGATGGATAGTGGGTAGCAGTGGAATCCAGGACAAAACGCTCATCCTGGATTCCACTGCTAGCCACCATCCATCCATGCTTATAATGACTATGACTTAATGACAAAATCGAGGCAGTCCGCACAAGATACACATATGTGGAACGAGACTAATCAAATGCAATCCTAAACATCAATGGAAAGATCCAAACAACCAATGTAAATGAATAGTTTTAGTAGTTGTATTCGAAACAGAAATTAACATTACTATAACAAGTTTTCTGGTTACTAATTTAAACAATTGATATATCTCGAATATAATGAAAATGACAAACTAGAAATACATACATACAACATACTTTCTTATTAAACGATCCCAATCGACTGACGCAAAAAACAAATGTGCCATAACTTCCAAAACATCCTGTACTCCACCACCTAATCGACTTGTTGGATCTTTAATTAAAAGTCTAGACAAGATATCTTGAGCTGGGTGTGAAAGACGAGCTGGGAAGGAGACATTGTCCTAAAGCATTAAAAATGACAAAATACGATATAATCTGAATGACCATTACTGCCAAAATATTTGCATAAACATTAAGATTATTTGTAACAAACCACTTGATACCTACTACACAGAACAATAGAAAATTCAAACTATTAAACGCTTGATATAGTAAGATATCTAGACTTGAGTCATAAAAAAGTGGTAATCATTGTCAAAAGACAGAGCGGAGACCACATATTCGATACCGACTCTTCATTTTTACATTTACAATTGTCATGGTTAATGTGAGGGTTCTGACAAATTCTGGATGTTTAAATGAACTAGGTAGTTTTCTCAAGGGATTGCCTTACATACTTTATCTACAGGGTAGTGAGAAGATGCCAGATACAATGTCGTGACAGCTGGTTGTCAAGGTAGGCACTGGGCTTTCCAGGGCCTTAAGGTTAGTATGGATCACTTGTCTGGAATCAGGGATTCCTAACTCTTTTAAGTAAACCTTTCGTATCCTTCGGCTATGTCTAACCACCAAACGTCTGTTTCCGTTCTAGTATTGCAGGAACATCTTACCAAAGTTAGTGGAGTGAGTAGGACTATTCATGAGAGGCCGAAGACGCATGATTTAATGAAATCATGCCAAGTAGGAAAACACTATTTCCACTCTTGGCAATATAAGAGCATGAAAAGACACGTATAGCAAGCTTGATCAGGATTCAGTCACTTGTGACACATCTAACTTCAGTGAGATATTCATATCTACCAAAACATTTCCCAAAAATCATAATACTTCACTTTATCTTGCTAAGAGTGAATAACATGTGGATGACGAAAGGTTGGAAATATGGCTCATTAAGTGATAGGAATTACGTATGTTTCTCATCGATAAACTGATAAGATGTTTCAAATTTTACAATCCAATAGGATTTTATAACTTTTTGGTAAGTATGAACTTCGATTGAGACATAATTAACAAATATAGATGTACAGCTGATTAGCAATTATTATTGATAAAAGAAACTTAAGTCATGATATGATCGCTTTGACATTCAGAAAAAAAATGAGAAAGTTTGGTATTTCTGAATAAAGGCAACAGTGATTTGGCAAAGCAATAATAAACTGAAATCTCTATTATTTTGAAATATCAAAAAAAATAGAAGCGTACAATGATAACAAAATTCAGTTACGGCTAACTTACTTGCAGTATTAGTTCAAACAAAACTTCATGATCACTTGAGTAGAATGGTAAACGTCCACACATCATTTCATACATTACTACACCAAGGCCCCACCAATCAACTGAACGCCCATAATCGTTATCCAATAAAACTTCAGGTGCTAAATATTCTGGTGTACCACAAAATGTTTTAGTTGATGCACCATAGTACATGTCTTCTTTGCACAGACCAAAATCAGCGATTTTTATATGACCATCTTTATCCAACAATAAATTTTCCAATTTAAGATCCCTGGTCAAGTTAGAGCAAGAATAAAAAAAACACCAAGTGTTGTAACGATTATTCTCGCTCAGAAATAAAATCTTTGAATATAAAAACAAAAATCTACTGTAAGAACTGTTAAGGCTTCGAAGGTAAATGAAAGGGTCAATACACTGAACTAGTTCACAGTATATTGTCCAACCAAGTATTCATAAAGTGTCTTGAAACAACACCTTATATTTGCAAACAGAAAAAAGTAAATATTCGTGCTTGCTTGCTTGTTTTAGACAGAAATGTGTTAGTTATCTATTCCAATTTGATAAAAGTTGTTAGGTAGCAGACCCATAATTCAACAATCTAAACTAAGAGTTACCTTTAAAAGCATTTGACCATATTTCTCTCTCCATCTAACCAGGTTCATGTAACATGTTATTAAAGAACAAGTGTTTCAGTCAATATGTCTTGATCAGGTTGTCATAATATATAAGTTTAAACTGTGTCAAAGTAAAAAGCTACATTTAAGAAAAAGTACTATCCCCGAGTACTTCTTAAAATCAAAATTACATGAAGTATAACTTATAAAAAAAACAGATTATGTAAATCATTATATATATATATATATATATATATATATATAATTGATTTCGAAGGTATTTTTCTCCTTACCTATAAACAACATTCTGGTGATGTAAATAACCTAAAGCCAGAGTAATTTCTGCACCATAAAATTTAGCTCTTTCTTCTGAGAATACACGATCGCGTTGTAGATGAAAAAATAATTCACCACCATTAACATATTCCATAACAAAGCATAAATAATTAGGTGTAGTAAATGAATAACGTAGCTCTGTCATAAATGGATGTTTGCATTGTTGTAGCACACGATTTTCAGTCATTGTATGAACAACTTCTTCTTTCTGTTATTATGTGGTAAAAAAACAATGCAAAAAATAATGAACTCACGCGATAATAATAATAATAATAATGACAATAATAGTAAACAGTAATCATCGTTGGTTTTTAAAAAAACCATAACAATTGTTGCTATATAAAAATAGTTTATCAGGTGTCTAACAGATAACAATTGATGTAATGCTCTGTTGAATGTACGAAGTAATATGGTTTATAACTTCAGGAATATGAGAAACAAGTTTAATTTTAATGCAGCTTAATAACTAAGCACAGATTCATAAGCTCAGACTTAAGCGAAACTTAATTGATACTGTGCATACTACTTGTGTCGACAGACATCAGCAGTATGTAACACCGATCGGAAGTGGAAAACCTGGCAGTAGAAGGCTAAGAAGATCGAGTTGAAAAGAGCACAAGGAAAAATAGAAAGGAATTGAGAACTTGAAGAATCATACAGAATGTGAAGGAGAGATGATGAAAATTTGCAAATAAAGTATTCAGTGTATGATTCTTATATTTTACCAAGATACTGTAATTTCGTATTTACATTGGTTGTTCCTGCATGTGTTCCTGTTCATTACAATACTATTTAATTGTCTAAATTGAAATAAGAAAAGGTAGGTTTTTAAACTGCGTATCTAATGGTTGAGAAATTCACGAAATATAAAAAACCTGCAATATGCTACATTTCAAGGCAATCGATGAAAGCCCTTAACGTTTAGTTACTAGTATTTATTATTAATTGTCTAAATTGAAATAAGAAAAGGTAGGTTTTTAAACTGCGTATCTAATGGTTGAGAAATTCACGAAATATAAAAAACCTGCAATATGCTACATTTCAAGGCAATCGATGAAAGCCCTTAACTTTTAGTTACTAGTATTTATTAGATCTACCCAACTAAAATTCAGGTGAAAATGATGATCACTTAACAGAATCAAACACATAGACTTGTAAAATTAGAAATAATAATTGTGACTATTCGACTTACTTCAATAAGTACAGATTTCTTTAGTATTTTCATAGCGTAAAAATGACCTGTTTCATTTTCTTGACACAAAATCACTTTTCCAAAAGTACCTTTCCCTAAAACTTTTAAAAGTCTGAAGTCATTTACAGAATAACGTTTCACAGGCCTACAATATGAAAAAAATATTAAAATGTTTAAAAAACAATAATCAAAATAGATAGAAAACAAGTAACAATAACTACAATATATGTGGATTGTTGGAGTTATGTAGAATAAAGATAAGAGTAGTTAGATAATAAAACGGTTGTAAGCAGCGATAGAATTACGATAACAATAATAATAATAATAATAATAATAATAATAATAATAATAATAATGGTAACGTTAATAATAATAATAGCGTACGAAAGTATGCATGAAAATAAATAAGGCAATGAGTACCGAAAATCAAATCAAGTCAATGGTTATAATTTCAATGAGTGACTGTAAAAAACATAGTTCATTCACGCGCCATAGATTAGACTAAATTAGTAAAAGTCATTTTAAAGTAAGACAAAAGGGTTAGACAGGTTTCTCATTAAAAGTTATTAGACACCAACTAGAGGTCATCATCACATGCTTTGTATTCGACTGATAATGTATATGATGTATTTTTGGATGTAATTACATAGGCCAGACAAGGAATAAAATATTTTATGCATTGTGAGTATTTTACTGACTAGAAGGTAAGAACAGACTCTCAATGTCATTATACAAAATATATACATATCTGGTTGTGACCAGCAATGAAAAGTGACCTAGAAAATATTATCTACAATCTCTAGTTTTCATGTACAAATTGAATAACAATCCAAAAGCACTCGATACAGTTCTGATAAGAAATCAGTGATAGTAAACTATCCAATTTTCCTAAAGTATTTTTGGCCTGTTCTCATTGCAACCTTTAATTCAACATCCGGATCGGTCCGGTATATGCACTACGCGTTTTAACTGTCTAAAATACAATGTCATCGTAATTTAAACGATGTTTTAATGCATGGAAAAATCACATCTGTGTGACTACATGTAAACTTCACAATTTAAACTGTACTTCAATCCTAACCTTCACAAGGTATTTTTTGTAGAAAAAAATTGCAAATATAAGAAAACGTACTTGAGTACTTTCATCCGTGATTAGCTACATATACGGAGGGTTGATTTATCCCAAATAATTAGCACCGATAAACTCCTAGCTAAATTATATGTTTTATCAGCCTCAATAGTACTTCATAAACCCAAATATGTGATAATCATTGATTTTTTAATCTAATGATAAATCATGTTTTTATGTTTAAACTAACCTCTGAGGAATATCAACGATCATATTTTCAGCCAAATCTAAACTGTGTACGGATACTGGCTGCTCAAATGATGATTTGAGTCGATTTGCGACGCTTTGAATTGCGCTAAGCCAATAATTTCTTTCTGCTTCCGTCTCGACAAAGAATAAACGTTCCACTACATTGGTCCATTGTAAACCACGAATAAGAAATGTGTATGGTTTTGGTTTGTTTAAACATATAATTTGACAGTCGCGAACAGTGAAATTATTTAAAGGTTGCGCCATATCATCCTAAAAACACAAATGTTGGCAAACTATGTATTTTAGAAGACGATATCTACTCATTAGACTTATTATATTTGGAGAACTAAATATATAACTATCATATACTGATCTAATTGTCACTTAACAGACAAATTAAATATATCATGTTAGTCGATTGAAAGTGTCACTCGTGGGGATTCACTAATTTGTCAAACAAGGAAGACTTTTGTGAATAATTTAATTTACTAGACAATCATCTTTTGATTTGCATAAAATAGGAAACAAAACAATATTAGACAAATACAACTCCTAAAACACAATATAGCCATAGTTTTGAATCTAAAAAAAGAAAATATTAGACAGCTTGTAATTGATGCGACGATATAATACGTTTTATATGTATCATAGGTTACACTTAGTTGTAACACACTGTCTGTAGTTTGCTTCTTCGGCCATCAACAAAGTTACGTTCTGACAACAAAAATACACAAACTTCATTGAGCAAACTATTAAGATATTACTTTACAGAACTGCGTTGACTCCACGAACTTAATAAATGACTGAGATGACCAGGGATAAGGTAATAAGCTGAGTTAATGTGATGTATAATAATAAAGAGTTAACAATAACCAAAACTTCCCCAGGTAAATCCGATTCGCTTTCGATGCATGAATAATGATTGAGATTATGTATTGTTATTGAAGAAAAACAGTAATAATTAATCATATCAAGATAAATACAAAAATAGCTCGAAACAAATTTGAAACCAACTTTAGGTTGAATTTTATATCCATAAAATGTCCCATCTTCCCGTAATTTGAAATATCGACGTCGCCAATTTTTAATATGTTCGCCGCGTTTCATAAGCCATCCCTCTTTCACAACGTTCCGAGTAAGAGGTAAGGAAACTGGTCTACACTGGAGCATCCCAAGAAGGTATGGTGATATACGCGGCGCCAAATTGTCGGAGTAATTTTCTGTCAGTTCGTTCTTAAATAAGACATTCGGATTGGAGGCTACAGAAAGATGGGCATGTTGAAGACTACTAAAGATATTTGAACTTGTGCAATTGATATTTCGTCGCTGAGAAGCAGTGGTATCTTGCACTTTGGCTGATACTGGGACTGGTTCATGCTCCGTGTGACTGCTTTTCGACGAACCAACCACTGGATTTTGAGAGTAATTGCACAAAATCTCCATTACCCAGAAAATCTGCAGTCTAATAAAAAAACGAATTTCAATAGACTGAAAACTTGTACCGCTCCAAAGATAACTTATCACTGATAAAGGTATCAAAGTTACCTCTAAAACTTGATATTATTCGAATAATTTACTCGAAGTCGTACTGCTTTGCTCAAAGCTCTAGACAACAACATTGATAAGAAAATACATGTATTATTTAAATGTCAGATGAAAAGCACCCTGAAGCTGAAGATTAAGAGTCTACAATTAAGATCTTCCTAATTTAACACCAAAAAACATCACAAGGGCGAATTTTTCCAGAGTAGAATTTAATTTAACTTGAGCTTTGGCGAACGGTAGAACGGACACACGTCAAGATTCGCACAACGTATTTATAACTTGAAGACCATATATGTTTTACGGGTAACTACTTATTGAAAGTTGCATACATTATGGGATAGGTGTAACATGTCAAGACCACCCTGGTTAGTACAATTAAACTATAAACTTCAACTTGTAAGACCATCTCCTTAAATAAACCTAGCTTTCGTTGAAATATGAACGATACCTCAAATGTATTTATTGTGAGACATATACAGTATGATGTCCAACTCTAACGTTCTTATTTCCGGAGTTGTATAATCAGCTTTTAAAGGATGTTTGTACACTTCGAAATGCTGGAAAGATAAGGTGAAATGCCAGAAAACTCATTTCGGTGCTTTTGTTGACTACTAGTCCATCTAATATTATCCAAACACCCGAATAAAATACTAAAGGATTATAACCTTTCAAGATTCAAACATACCACGTTTGGCTGCATGAAAAACTGACGACAGACGAGTTTTTTAATATATCAGTGTCAAGAATATGATGAAACAGACTATTTTAGTAATTATTAGGTATAAATCTACTATAAGTACAAAAGAGACAGTTTAATTGTTTCACAGAAATACTAAGTGATCCTGGTGCTAAGCAATAACACGGCATAAAAAGTACAAATCAAATGATGAGATGAAGAATATCCGAAGACTGCAGTCAGTTGTACGATTGCAACCACAAAGTATTTCGATAAGTAATTTAGGGTATAATGTGGATGTGTGGAGAAGGGGCTAAAAGTGGTTAGATTAAGATAATAACATCAGATCATGAAGGCACTAATATTGAGTTGTTTGGGCAGGTGCAAGATAAGTTGTGGTAAAATTTAAGGTTGAGCATTTAGTAATATTTCTTTTTTTCTGAGACTGAACGAGCGTATTACTTGGACTTACTGTTTATATTCAGGAGCTAATGTAAACATGTTAAAAAACAAGTACATGTTTTGGATGATGGGTGATATCCGCACAGTCGTCTACTAGTGCACGTCAGTAGTTACGGAGTCGAATATGAACAAGTTTATAAGAGTATAGCTGTGATGAACAGTGACAGTTCGCTTTTTTGGGTTTTAATTATTAACATACAATCCGGGTTTAATTTGGCTAACCCAACTTTCATTTGGGCTACCATACAAGCCATCAGGTAGAAAAACGACATAATTTAATAAGTTGCTCAGTCAAGAAAGACAAATAATATTCCGGTCAGAGTAAACATTAGGAAAGTACAGAGTTCTACAAACTCGTGAAAAGACTAGATTTTGTTACCAAGGCAAGGAAATAGATATAGGCGATAGAGAAAAGCTAGAGGAAAGAATAGGAAAATAGGTTAGCATGAGGGGTAAAGAATGAGGATTAGAAATACTCATTGATTGCAGCAACAAAAAGATACATTATGGTTGTTTAAACTGGTTTTAAGTGATACTACTCGAATGGATGCGACCCAGTCGGAATGTTTACGTTTAAGCGGTAGAAAGGGGGCAACTAGATATGGGGGTGGGTGGGAATAGACACCAACAGACACTTCTGTACATGTAAAAAATATCACTCAGACCTCTGTACCCCTCATAAATAATTGGCATGCAAGTCAGAATTTATTATGAACGTGTTTTCCATCTAAAATAGCGAAATGATAACTTCAAATAAATATTATTTGAAAAATACACATACGCCGAAACAAACTGGGGATATCAAGAGCTATTTCGTACAGAAAAAGGCCCGGAACGGACTCAACACAATAATTAAGCTATGTATTATAATAAATATATGCTGTAAAATAACCTTAGAATTAATGTTTGAAACGAAGCTGACCCTTCGACTTTGATAGTAATTACAGTAGAATACCGTTATTTGAGAAGTATTTCACTTGAGTAACCCGATGGGACATTAAAGATCTGCACTTTCCATGAATATATCTTTTGTGAAAAAACACTGAATGCACACTTACCAGCCCTACAGTTTCATTTATTCATGAGGAAATTCATTTGCTTATATCAATCTACACGTTTTAGAGGTCGTGGAACAGTTCAAAATTAAAAAAGATACTTGTAAAAAAAATTCGGCAAGGCTCCCATTAAGACTTGCGAAAAACATTCCGCAGATCCTTGTGATGAGCTGTTAATCATGATAGTAGTCCTCAACAAATGGCACCTGACAAATATAAGCATCGTAACATCACTTTTTCGAGTTACACGCCTCATACAGGATAAATACTCACTTTAGACAACATAGAACCTTGAGTAAATCGTCTATCAAGTATAGCTACAGATTGAGCAATTACTGTTTTACGGCAGTTAGCAGTTTAATCAGTTGAAATGTCATGACGCACGAACAATCAAAACTTTGGGGTGGTATTATTTGGTTCTGAGAATAATATGGAATTCAGTGTGCACTTGTTATTATAATACCTTTTCAGTTACGTCCCCCTTAACCATATAACCCAGAGCACTAGACCGAAGCAAATGAATATGAGGACCAAACGGTGTTTAACTTTTCGTCTAACTGGAAAGTAATGTCACCTTAGTCGTCACTTCAGAAATTCCAGTGACTATATAGAGGAGGACTGGATTGCCGTGTTCAGTCGCTTTAAGACAATAGTGACAAACTATTCGCATGGATACGAATGACAATCGTTCAGAGAAAGATGTCAAAACTATATGCAATATGAAAAAAGACATCCGTTAGACACACTAAAAAGCGATATATACACTCTGGATTGAATCACACGAACCACTACACCAATATTTGCGATGCCCGGACAAAAATCTGCTTGACCAGAGGTTTGTGGATAATTATCAGGTCACGTGACCTTTCATGTTTCTGATTTCTAAAAACCCACAACCCCAAATTAATTTTCAAAAATAAACTGACAATTTATGGACTGACCTCGATAATAAAGAGTAGCAGACTGTTCCTATCAAAAATGTTAAGGCGATTTCCTGTCTCCAGCTATTAGAAAAACGAACGGACTACTAATGTATGCATCTTCTTGAAAAATCTTCTACACTGTTCCTACGGACCTAGCTAGACCATCGAACTTGCAACTAGCGTTTAAGACTTGGCGCCTCCCAGTTTTAGTGGGCCGTCCTGTTTAAAATTGTGTCAGAGAGTTGTGGGAGAATCCTTAACTTTAAGAGCTACGAATCTAGCATCACATCGTCGAGTCACTAAATAAAAATCGTGGGTCAATGTATGCGTAATGCTGTTGGAACGGTAAATTACCGCCCCCATTAAATAGTTGTGTAAACATTTGACAGTGTTAACTTTAACGGACACTACTAGCTATGGGTGCCCAAATAAGCGTCGTGTTCGTACTATGATACATCCTGATCCAAGACGAGTCCCCCCCTAGACTACCAAACTGGAAGTCTCACATTCCTATATTTCCACCCACGTACATGTATAATTTAGCTCCCAGCAGTTCTCAGCTTCTTTCATCTTGGTGTTTGAAGTATCATCCCCGGTAAGTTAGGTCGACTAGTAGGTTATGATGTTGTAGTAGATCTGTGTCAATGACCGGGATTAACGCATTAGTAACAGCAAAGATCTGGTAGACGGACCTGTGCGAACTCATATTTAAGTAGACCTACCTGTGCTGTATGTGGGGATCAATTTTCCTTCTTCCCTCTGTAAATTGAAGAGTGTTCTATGAGATGGCTAGTATTCACAGGGAGGTTTATAACTTCTGCTCCAGTGTCGATGAGTTAATAAAACCTTCGTCATCAAATATATGATGTATAACAGAAAGTTGTTTCGTAATGACATACCTGCAATGATAAATAAATCTCCTAAATAAATAGCTTTATAGGTCTTCAGCACTAATGCTGATCTAATTAGTTTTACTGGACACAGCCTGGATGAAGGCTCTGTCACCCCCCCCCCCCAAGAGCTGGTACTCCAATGACACAGATGACCGATTAGAATACCAATGATTATATTGTAATTGTAGTCAGAAAGTCAAACTGGATACAATAACTAAGTGGTTTCGTCTTATTAAATATATGGAAATTAACCATAGTTTTTTATACAACATAAGAAGGTACATACCACGCTGAATGCCCCAGACTGGAATTCCATTACAGTGAACAGCTCTCATTATATGACTACTAGGCTGCTAGGCAGAAGACTTCAGCCTAGCGATACTCAAACCCTTACATCTCTGTCCAAAGACTCTCACCCCATTTTTTCATGTGATATAAATTTTATGAAATCTGAACTCAAAATCAAACAGGTTCTGAGGCGCATAAACATACAAAAATTCTCTGGCTCATGTAGTATACGACTCAGATTACTGAAAGAGTGTGTGGGCTTTCTCTGCTTCTCTCTTATTACTTTGTTAAAGGGTTCCTTAATGGAGGACATACTGCCTTTCGATTAAAAAAAGAGAATAGTTATACTGACCGGAGTGTCATTAGGCTATGTCCCTAAACCACTCCTCTTCCTACTGCTTACGATCAACCTGCGTAACCTTCTAGACTGTCGAATTCTCCTTTAAGTAGGTGATAGTGTAGTCTGAAGATGATTAGCTGTCTCATATGATGTCTCGACTCTCTGAAAATAATTATATTGGACGTATCACTGAATTAACAATGACTTCCTCCTCTCCCGACATCAATAAGCGGAGAATGCCAGTTGTAAACAGCATTGATGTCCCACTAATCTTGAAATCCCTTGGGAATTCCTTTTGCTAAGTACCAGTCTGTGATACTCTGAGATTCTATTATAATTGGCATTACGCAGCCAGAAAAAATGGTTCGTTTTGAGACATCTTTACAGTAGAGTCAGTTGTCTGACTCCAAAGTTAACAAAAAAGCTATTTTTGGTGTTTGCCTAAGACTTCGTTTTGAAAAATACTACCAAGTTATATTCTCTTGTTATGAGTAAGATATCGATCTCCTGGAACATGTTCGAAGAAAAGAGACTAAAAAGGTATTAGGAATAACGAACAGAGCCTAATTGTCTTGCATGTAGTCCATAAAGACATAGTCGGAGGGGTGCATAATAACTAGACAGGATGTGATCACGTTGTGTTACAATCCTCTCAACCAGAATAAATCACTGATGTGTTTCGGTAATGAGTCACTTGAGAAGACATCCACTCAAGACAGAACACAAGAGAGCTTCTCAAAAATCTATGAAAATATTTTTCCCACTGAACTCGGTATGTTCTGGAACTCCATATAGAAAAGTGAATTTTTTAAGGATGTGACAATTACTCTAACTCTGTAGACACTAAGGGAGATTACACAGCGTTAGCCCTCGATCACTCCCATTGTTCACAAGATTATTTTGCCCTCCAGTTTCTATGAGAAGTATGACAAAAGTTATATCTCTACGTAGTCAATATCTATTTATAAGAGGACCACAAGGAACAAACAGTTCACTAGATCTACTGACCAAACCTAAAATTCATTTCAGTTTCATTTTGAAAAAGACGAGAGGCTATATGGCATGTCCTAGTCCTGGCAATGGTGGTCTCTCAGCCTATCCAGCATCGGCAGATGAATTTTCAGTCACGTGTTGGGATGGTGAGTTCGATTCATTGATGACTCTACGGGGAAGTCGATAGTCAACTGACAAGTAATTTTTTGGCTTGTGACGTTTTTAGAGTGTCCTCGTAAATTCCGTTTTGAAAGATAAAAAATTGACGGCATATCAGATGCAAATTTATCACTGAATAATTTAAAAACTATAGTCAGGTTGCATCTGCTTCTTCTATATGACAGTGGAAATTGGTCTAGTTTAGCCAGTCGAGCATCATACGGGAGCTTTGCTATTCCTGGAATCAACTTAGTTGTGGTTCTTCGAACCTTTTCAAACAACACATTATCTCCATTTAGTCGGGGGCTAACCACTTGTATTCAGTACTTGGGTTTAGGACAAACGAATACTGCATACAAAGTCAAGATTTTGGCATCGACATGGCTAAAGACCCTACGTATTGATCAAAGGGTTTCAAAACCTTTGATGGATATCGTACTGCAGTGTGTAGAGATTATCAAGTCTTGTCTAACGATGAATCCTAAGCCATGGTGTGTCTGGACGACAGGTAGACCAGTGTTATTCACCGTGTATGTATCTGTGCCTTGGTGACCAATATGCATCACAGTGTACTTGGAAGAATTTATCCGCAACCGTCAAATTTCAGACGATTTAGATAAGTTTTCAAATCATTTTAAAGCTCTAACCCAACACCTTTACTTTTTATCGCTCTTCATACCGTCAGCATATAGCAAGACAGGTGATAATAGGAGAATGGGAAGCCATTTACAAACAAGAGAAGCAACACTGGCCTTAAAACTGCACCCTGAGGCACTCCGCTTATCACAGCTCTCCAGCTAGACAACTTCAAGTTCGTCCGTACTCTTTGTTGCTGTCTAACTAGTAAGTCCATTATCTGCACTAATAAATCGCCTCCAACTTATATAACAGTCGGTTTTGAAGAAAGTTGTTAGAAGCTTTGCTGAAGTCAGTATGGGCTTTGTCTATAGGCAACTTTTATTCTTTACGAGCGAACGAACTCTCACAGGCTGCTAATAAGTTATTGAGACGGAAACAACCAATTCTAAAGCCATGTTGCTTTCGAGGAAGAATCTTATATTCGTTGAGATATTTAAAAAGCTTCCGAATAATCATTTCTAAGGTTTTGATAAACACGCTGGTTAGACCTGTGGGTCGATTGTTTTTACGCTTATATCTCGCCTGCTTTGAAGGCAGGATTTACAATGGCGTACGTTTGTCTTTCGGTAATCGACCGTGAGTTACAGATAGATTGAAACATTTGCCCACTGGATTCACGACGAAATTCACTGATTCACTTAGTAACCTAGGTTGCATTTAATATAGTTTGATTGGTTTGCCTATATCAAGCTCATTAGGCAGACCAAATACATCAAGTTCTTTGATGGTCACAGTGTCCATTATGTGTGCGAGGGTTGGTATGAACTAGAGGGGAAGACATCTCTACGGTATATACATTTCTTGTGAGGTTTGAGGTTACCGGGGCTTTATCATAATCGTCCTTCACTAATGATGCAGTACTACTGTATATAGATGTTGCTGGAATGTTTCCTCTTATTATGTATATTATATTATATTATGTATAAGTATAAGCATTTAGGGCATTCTATAGACTCCTTAACAAGCTTTTCTTCGTACAATCTTCTGAACTTTCAAAGCGTCGAGGAAAAGATATTTGGAACTCTCCCATATTGAGACTTTGTCTTGTCAGTATACTGTAACCCAAATCTCTTCCACATTCTTCTCCGCTTACAATGAACGTTACCGACATCTTTACTGAACCACAGTGGGGGGTTTCTCGAATCCTTCGGCGTAGTCCAAATGATGTGAAGTGTAGTGAATTTAATTCACAGATCTATGAGTACATCCCAGGTAGTTTCAATTGGGTAATCTGGTTCTATTGAGGATGCTGAGTGTATAATATCTTTTAAATTTGCTTTTCAGATGTTCGGTTTGGTTCGGGGTGACACTTCCTCCTTATTGACGATTACATGGAAATCAAAGACTAGAACAGCACAGTCAATTTTACCTAAGGGTAGCATACAATGGAGACTTATGACGTGTGATTATGGCTTAATTCAGTGTTTGTACACTTATCTTTGTTACTTCAATAATAGACTCAATCCCAAAATTGTAGACTTATCATGACACTACTACCTAACCCATAAAATCTTACACAGAAGTCATATAATTATCTATACTGACTCGTCCTATTGTGAAACAGCGGCATGATGTTAAGCGCTTCCGAAAAACACATTTGGGGTGGAGATAAAATTATATATATATATATATTATGAAGTCTCCTAGGATTAAACACCGGCCACTTTGTGACCAAGTATTGAGACTGCCTAGCATGACCTCATTCACCTTACAGTTTGGATTGCGGTATACGTAACATATCGGCAGTTCATATCCAATGCCCTCCAAGCGGCAACTAACTAATTCACATGCCACACTTTCATGAGACATGTTAGCAATAACGCCAAATGAGATGATACTTTTGATGAATAGAGCTACTCCTCTTCTACGCTTCCGTATTCTGTCAGCTCATGCGAATGTGAAGCCTTCAAAATCAAGTTTCCCACCGTCTACAGACTGCAGCAGTCACGTATCTGCGACTGAAACCACATTTGTCTACATGGAGTCTATCTGTACACCTATTTCTGGTCGCTTGTTGAGAAAGCTTCGAGCATTTGAGCAAAAGATACAGAGACCATTAAAACGGCTTCGTGTTGCACCATACGTGGCTTCGACATCATTCTCCGTCGAAGCCTCGAAAACTGTTCTAAGGGCGCTTTCACCACCGCCTAACCTTAGCTTTAGTTCTTTTCAGCCTCTCGTCTCTTTGTACGGTCCAAGATAGGTAAGTCTTTACGGAAAAATCTCGTGATTCCATTATTTTAAGTCCATTCCGTAGTATCAAGTCCCTTTCATTGGGATATTTAAATAATACTTTTAGTAGCCTGGTTTATTCTGCTTCTGGTCCATTTTGCTACATAGATTATCAACCTCTAGCAAGGTGACTTCAGAGATATTTTTATGGGGCCCTTAATTTTGTCGTCATTTAGATCGTACGATGTTGTCGAAACGGCTCTCCATTTTAGTGGCTTGAGTTCTGACTCCAACTAGATCGTATGAATGTTTTTTATCATCTATCCTCGTATATAATCATCGACTTAAATCGCGTTAGTCAATAACGGAATTAAATAAGTCAAATAACGAGAATGGACTTTTGAATACATATATTTTGTATATGTGGCGAATGGAATAGAGAGAAGAGGAACGACGCGCGGTGTTGGCCATATCCCTTTTAGTCAATCATTAACCAAAACTTATAGTCACACGAAAATAGGTTACAGACATGTGATGAGTAATGGGATAAGAAATGTACACACACCTACGCTCATATAAAAACAGTCGAGATTGATAAGCGGATAATTAACAAGGTCCAAATGTGACTCGAGTAGAATGAATAGGTTGGGCTGTCCGAAAGAGAGAATAAGATATATGGGTTTAGCATAATAACCGACACTAAAATATCTTGAGGTATTAGCTCGTTTAGCAGCTGTTTTCTCAACTTAATGTCATGCACTAAACGAGTTATGAGTTGTGAACTTTCACCAACCTTGACGCTATGAAAGACAAACGATCTACCAACATGATAAGTTTTCAAGTTCCTGGCTGCTGGCTTTTATTTAGCACCATTAGGTTGTGCCGTATTCTTGATCTGTACCCATTCATCAACTTTCATTAGAGTAGCAAACATAGTCACGACTAAAGTGTGGGTCTTAAGGTTTTTAATTATAGCCATCTTCAGTTTGTGATTAAACCAAAGCCCTAACTTCTATATAACCTCTAAACAATATTTTACATCCCTGTTTGACATTTATTTCAAGACCACGAAGTCGCTTTTAGTATCGCTATCGACTCATTAGCGCACGTCAAACTTAGACGATGACTTGTCAACCTAAACCCTAGAATAAAGCAACAACTTCACTTAAGTATCTTACTTTGTGGCTGTCAAACACTTAGCGTCGTTTGAAAGCTTCTGTTCTATTTAAAGTGACCTACAACAAGTCAAAACAAGGTTGGCGCCACTTCGAACTTGTTTTCATGGTGAACTCGTGAGGTTTGTGCCCAGCAGTTACTAAGTCAGTGTTGATCGCACCTTTTTTGTCATTAGTGGGTCTTGGTTATGTACACTTTAGGTTAGTCTTAACATATCTACTTAATTGAGTCTGCAGAAAAGATCTTTCCCCCACTCCCTCGAGTAGTTAGGGGAAAATCACTTGTTTTCGATGCAGACCCCAAAGGTAAAAAGCTTATATATGTCACTGGAAACAGTGTCGTTATTCGCTCAATTGAGGTAGTTTGGTTCTATTATATTACTTGCTCTAGAATCTTGCTGATAGTGATATGTACACTCAGCACTCAGTAGCTGTAAATGTTGCAAAATATTCACCCAGTGGATTTTATATAGCTTCAGCAGGTGAGAACTTTTAAAATTTTACGAGGTCTTAGATAATAACGGGAAAGTACGGATATGGGACACTATCAACGGGGAGCACTTGCTAAAATATGAATACCAACCATTCAGTGGTCCTATAAATGATTTGGCCTGGACTTCAGATAACGCTCGTATGCTTGTTGGTGGCAACGGTGCTTCAAAGTAAATCCTGCCTCGAGTATTTGTTTTACTTTAAGATTTGGAGCAGTATTCATGGTTGAAACAGGGACGTCTGTGGGTTCAGTTACAGGCATGAGCAGAAGTATCAATTCCGTCGATTTTCGACCTGTTCGACCCTACCGCGCCATTACTGGAAACGATGAGGGCTTAGTGACCTTCCTTGAGGGTCCTCCATTTTCATTCAAGAACTCTTTTCAAGTGTGATGTCACGTTTATGTCTTACCTTATTTCTAGAACCATAAAGGTTTTGTCAATGTGGTTCGGTACTCGTTGAATGGATCATTTTTTGTTTCCGGTGGGGCAGATGGAAAGGTAATCATTCTCTAAAACATGATTTGTCCTAGATATTCCTTCACGATGGTGAAAGTGGTGAGAAACTATCTGAAGTTGGAAGTCCAGCGCATGAAGGAGGAGTCTATGCCATTTCATTCTCACGGCAAAGTCCTCTCTGTGTTTCTGCTTCTGCAGACAAGTCCATCAAGTTATGGAGTGTTGAAGCTAAAACGCTCTCTTACCTTTCAAAGTATTCGTTTGAAAATGTTTTAATGAATATGCTAGTAAGTTTGGTTATTGATTTTTTAATTTCATTTTACACACTGGTCGCATAATAACCTAATTAGTTGTACTTATACTGTTAGTGCATCGATTTTAAAAATGAGTGTGATATGCATAGTAATTAAAATACTTTGACCTCTGTGTTAGGAATTTTAAAAAGTACGGAACTGATTTCATGGTTTCAAGTCAGCTATGATGAAAAATATATAGGAAGCCTGTTTTAAATTATTATGTTATTGTAAACGAATAAGAATTTAGCCATGACTACTGGAGTCTGATGTGTTGTACGGATATAGAAACAAATATACAGTCAGACTGTCAGGATTAAATGTTGGTTAATTTACTCAGTCTTCTTCTCTGTAAATACATCCGTTTCAATTCATTGGGTTTTAAACCACACTCATGAAAAGATTTCGTATCTTAGCCGGTGTTCAAGTCTTTTTAGTAAACTCGGTGTGAAATTGTTACTAGTGTGATTAAACCAATAATACTCCACCTTTATAGTAGGGTAACAAAAACTAATTAATTCCGTTGAACACTGTTAGTCACCACTCAAGTGTAACTATAATCAACCTCTACACAGGTGGCGCTATAGTCTGGTATGCGAACTGAAACTAGTTAATGTTTTGTTCAATGTATATTTAAATTCCTAATTTTATGACTATCAGTATTACTATGACTGTAATCAATTCAGGGCTGAAGAGTTTACTAGCTTTCATCCAAATAGACTAGTTAAAAACCATTGGACTGCACTTTTTTAGATCAACTTTTTTAGTTTAACGACTATTCTAGGCGTGTTTTGCCAAATGTTTTCTATAAAACCATGTTGTCACCTTATGGCGCATTCTTGTACCAATATTTCTGTGTTCGAATAAATAAATAAATATCATCTTATGGACACTAACATCTAGCCCCTGAATTAGATAAACCAACTCTTTAATTCTCGAATTGTGTGCATGTCTCAGCCAATTTTAGTAGTTAGTCAAAAACTGGTATAAAATCCACCATATATTCCCAGACCACCTCATGTTTTATTCATCGATACTAAGACAATTGGTTCTACTCTATGATAGCTTGACATTAGATGGTATCAATCCCACTATTCGTACTTTTTACAAGTTAATTCATTTTAAAGACTTGTATTGACTATTCGAGTCAAGCTTAAGAAAATGATTGACTTTAAACTTTCGTAATCTAGTAATGAACAGTAAAATCTCAAATATACAACTTTGACGGCTATTTTTAAAGTTTTTTGTTGTTGTAAATATATTTTTAAAAAGTTTTTGTCTCTTCAATTAATAGTAGCTTATAGGTTATCTCATTACTTACTATTTACGTAAGCCTCTTAAGGCATAGGCCTCAGACTAGGGATCTCCAAGTAACAGCCGTATTATGGTTTCCGTATACTGTATCTTATCCACTTCCGGCGTTTTTTCCTAATTCCATCCTCAACTGGTTTTCAGTTTGTTCTCTGTCACATTAGGTTATTGTTGATAGTTTCTAGCCAGTAGATCTGAAGTGTATTGTAGATGGCTATCTATAAGTACCTGTAGTTTATTTTTTATGTTTGTGTTGGTTTTCGACGTTTCGTTCCCGTAAAATATGATTGTTTTAACGTTAGGATTGAAAATTCTGACTCCGACCTTGGGTAAGAGCTCTTTTGTGTCCAAGATATTCTTGAATTGTAGTTTTGTCATTGCTCTGTCAGCTCGTACCTTGGTATCTGCATCAGATCCTCATTGTGTCCCAATCGCACTACCCGGATATGTTAATGCCATACCCCTTCCAGAGCTTCACAATCAAGTATGATTCGGTTGATACTGACTATTGTGTTTCAAGATCGTACCTTTCCCCTTACTAATATCGAAACCTATTTCTGCGAAAGCCGCTGCTTCACCGACTGTCTTCGCCTGCCTTTGATTCCGTGGATGTGATAAAAGGGCTAAGTCATCTACAAAGTTTAAATCATCTAGCTGCGTACGAGATGTCCATTGTATCCTGTGTCTTCCCTGAGCAGTAGATGTCTTCATAATCCAGTCGAGAGCCGCCAAAAAGAGAAAAGGTGAAAGTAAGCTGCTTAGTCGGACACCACTCTTCACTTAAGATGCATCTGAGCGATGTTCTTAATGCACGACTTTGCAGTTCGGTTCCTTTTTGGAGCTCCGAATGATGGTGTCAATCATTTGGGGTGCTGAAACTATTGATAGTTGTTTGTTAGGATCAAAATTCTATTGACTGCCACTTACATTTCGTCATGGTTGACGTCGAGTGCTACGAGGAGCATAAAAATTAAGAGTATCGATGTTATTCATTAGTCATTATTGTTTAAGCGTATATGACTTGATTTAGTGAAGACAACTCTGTTTCTGTGCAACTGATCGTGGTCCACTATTTTGAGCAGTATGATTGCATCCTATATTGTCGTTCTTTCCTTTTCTGGTTTCATAAATTTGTAGAAAGGTCATGTATCTAATATCCCAAATGCTGAGTGTTCGTCATCACCATCTCAAAGAAAGGCTTAAATAAACGTTCGTAGTGCTGCTCGTTCTATTGTACAATGCTTCTTTATCTTCAGTTTTAACCTGGTCACCATCAGGTGGTGACCTGAATCCATATCAGCCTATTTCTTTATTCTTAGATCGATGGCCCTTTCGAGTTTTCTACCTGCGCTTATGGAATCGGTCTGGTTTACTGTAGTGTGGTCCAGTGAAACCCATGTAGCTTTGTGTAGACTTTTTTATTGGGAAATGCTTCCCCCTTCATCATTGTCGTTTCTTTCTCCCAGTCCATGTCGCTCTTCAATGAATTCATACCCGATGTTGTCCATCCTGATTTCGGCGGTTAGGTCTTCCATCAGGATTGTCAATTCTTTTTCTGTCATCTCTTTAGGATAAACTACACCCTCCCATAAAACTGATTTTTATCATCTTCACTCCTATAATAAGTGGGTGCATGTAGCACTGGACAAAATTCATTGTACTTCTTTTTTTCGAAGGATGTTCTGATGGTCCTGTAGTAAAACTTTTCTGACTCCATGAGCGCATTTTATACCTCTTTAAACGGCATCAGTGCAACTCCTTATGTGTGTAGTACATTTTCTTCTTCACGATCAGGACACAACAGCTATCCTGAAATCAGTCTCTTTTCGTTCATGTTATATCCAATGGATTTTGGGTTGGCTTTTATCTTCTCTCTTTTGCGGTTGTTTGTATGGCCTTCTTGGTCTCTCAAATTGTCCAAACATTTCATGTCCCTTTATTGATTGTCGCTCTGATTTTCAGAATAGGCATATACCTCGAGACTTCAGAAAAATCTTGGCTTTTATCATGAGGCGTCATAACTCTTGTACGTGAAAATACTTTAACTCAAAGGGTAGAGTTTAAATGCCTTAATTGTTTTTTCGGTTAATGCTTATTGGCGAGCTTTTTGTTAATGAGCTGAGGTTGCTAACCCCATGTTCAATGCTCTTTTACTCGAGCTTTATATAGGTAGTAACCCTAGAAGGTTTTTTCCTTCATAATATATCAATTTATAACTGTTTATTATTCTTCAGCTCGGTTGCACATGGGTAGGCAATAAAGTTGCTGCTGTATCTTTAAGTGGTTCGATTCATATATTTGATGTCCCACCTGGATCGAAGTCTCTCGCTCCACCAAAACTTTCTATACATGGGCATAAACTCCATATAACTTGTGCAAGGTTTAGCACGCTTAATAATCGTTTAATTACTGCAAGTTCTGACGGATCGATGGCATCTTGGGATACATCAACTGGTTTAGCTGAAATGTTTTCTGGTACAGAAGCTCATACTTCACAAGTACAATCAATATCGCTTTTAGGAAAATATGTAATCACTGTTGGTATCGATGATCGATGTGTTGTCAGTTCGATAAGTGAACTAAAACACATGTAAGTTAAGTTTTTCACCTTGTCTATTTCTTACTGTATATATTGCTGCCCATCCAAAATATAGTTGACTAAGTGGATAAATATGAAGTCTGTGAGTGTTGGACTTGTTCATTGTGATAAGGGTTTGTTATTTTATACTTCATATATTTATTTCAAAGCAAAATCATGATAGTCAAAAGATGATAAAAATAATATTTCAAATATCTAACAAAATAGGCATTTAAATGGTGACAGCTGTAAAAATATTTGACATAGTCATATGAAATAGATTCAAAAAGTGTTTTTCGTTTTGTTAAAACATGTTCTCCACTGATGTAAGTCGTATCTGATTACGTATTAAACCTCTTGGCTGCACGATTTCCAGTAATATAATAAGGAAATCGACATGCATCAATACATGATAAACCAGCAACAGTTATTACCCATTTCATGATGCGATGTCAGAAACCAACAACATCTGTGTTGCTTCATCCAAGTTTAGCTTTGGAAATCAGGGTTTCACATGATAGCTTTGGAGACTTCTCGTCAAAAATGTTTCCATTCAACTAAATATGGTGTTTTAGGGTGGTTTGATTATGAAGAAACGATGCGCATCGTCCCCAGATATTTCCTGCTCATTATCAGTAATAATTATACAATTTTATCATCGAGTTCGAGCAATTATGAAAACAGGTATACTTATCGGCGTCCGACAATGGTGGTCTTTCTTGACATAAAAGCAGCATTTGACTCCGTAGACCGCGAGATTCTGTGGCAGTGTCTGTCATTGAAAGGCGTACCTCAGAAGTACATAAACCTTGTGAGGGCTCTTTACTCGAACACTACTAGTCGAGTCAGAGCTTATGGCGAACTTTCACCTGCTTTTGCAACCTCAAGTGGTGTCCGTCAAGGCTGTCCACTTTCTCCATTTTTGTTTAACTTCATCATAGACCTACTAATGGGAATAACATTCTCGTCTACTGATATCTCGGGTATTGATCTCCTTCCAGGAGGTCCACTTATCGACTTAGAATACGCAGATGACATAGTCCTGTTTGGTGAAGACGCTGATAAAATGCAGAGTCTTTTGGTAGCACTAAGCAACAATGCCAGAATGTTTGGAATGCGCTTCTCTCCCTCTGAATGCAAGTTATTGCTTCAGGACTGGTCTGCGTCAACACCTGAACTAAGGATAGGGAGTGAAGTAGTCGAGCGCGTTGACAACTTCACTTATCTTGGAAGTCTGATCAGCCCAAATGGGTTGGTGTCTGACGAAATCTCAGAACGGATTCGAAAAGCTTGTTTGGCTTTTGCCAACTTACGTCACCTATGGCGAAGACGAGACATCCGTCTAACAATTAAGGGGAAGAGTAAACTGTGCGGAAGTTCGTTCTGTTTTACTTTACGGCTGCGAAACGTGGCCACTAAGAGTACAAGATATTCGTAAGCTACTAGTTTTTGACAACAAATGCCTTAGAAATATTGCTGGCGTCTGCTGGGATCACCGGGTAAGTAATAGTGAAGTTAGACATAGGGTATTAGGGAATGATGGTAAATCAGTTGATGAGGTTGTGAATCTTCATCGAATGAGATGGTTGGGCCACATGTTACGTATACCTGAACACCTATTACCACGTCGTGCAATGCTAACGGGTGTAAGAGATGGTTGGAAGAGAATTAGGGGTGGCCAAACCAAAACGTGGTATCAGTGCTTGAAGACACTAACCTCTAGTCTAAGCCATGTCGGTAGATGCAGACTACTTAATTGGGGTCCGTGTGACTATCGTAACCAATGGTTGGAGACTCTGGGTGACATGGCTCAAAGTCGATCACAATGGCGTCGGTGTATACACTCTCTGTCTTGCCTTAAACTATGAGATTAAAATCGCTTCATATCTTTCTTTCTACGAACTAATTCTTTCTTCCTGTACTATATCATTATTGCAATCTTTATTTTATATATTACCGTCACTGAATTAACTACTTCTATGTATTCGGTTTTCATATTGTGTTAATGAGATATGGCAACTTGGACCGATGCATATATGTGCCTGGTCCTACGTTGTACCTGACTGACTGAATTATGAAATATAGCAATAATCAAACAGATGTTTAATGTATCTGATTTCGTTACGGCAGGTATCCTAGATATAGAGTAGAACTACTTACACGGAAATGTTAGACAATTTTCATAAGGCCCCATTGGATTTAAACTCTGTAAACCGATCTCAGCTATCGCACTTTCATTACCATCCAAAAAGTTATCCGTATAAAATGGGCTTTCGAATGTTTCCGATGGACAACTCTCATGAGCTATCGTAGGTTCATATTCCTAACTATATTGCGAAAATACTTTGGATTTGGATTGTACAAAGTATGTGGAGTAGCTACAGATACTTTTTGTTAGGTGAAAAAGTACAGTTTGAAACTATTTATTCTTTTGTGGTATGGAGACATATTGTTAGTATTCGTGATCTAAAAGCTCTTCCCCAGGTCTAATTAATCCTTGCTCACTTTCCATTGAAAATATAATCGATGTGCAAATCAAGTAAGAATGATGTGATTAGACAAAGATTGTGATTTGGATTAACAGAAATGGATATTTAGACGCTTTCACTTTACTGTAAAATGATATATTGAAATGCTCAAGAACATTACTTTCTGACAGATAACTTCAACTCTTATTTTTACCTAACGAACTAATGGTATTTAAATATTCAACAAAGTATCGAAGTCGAATAAAACTTGGCCTTCCCATTACAATTCATCGTATTACATGTTTTGCAAAATCTATGCAGTAGCCATCATAACATTCAATGTTCTAAAAAAATGGTGGAAAATTTACACACATAATTTTCTCATGTGTTTTTTAGTCCTTTTAAGAAACAAATACTGTAATGACCACACTTTTCAATAACGGTTCATTACACCATTCCGATTATTCAACCTAGCTTTTTGAACGTTATGTTCCAAAGGAACCAGATTAAATTAGATGAATTTAGTGTTTTATGATGTTTCAGCACTTTGAGCTCCTTCCAAAGTTTTACTTTGTCAAGTGTCGACTAATCATCATAGTATAAAATAGTTGAATTAACGTTTTTAATGCAATCAACTAGCTGTGCTGCTTTGCAAGGTGCTTCTCTAAATGTATCAGTTGTATTTAGAAACTGATAATTCACTTCACTGCTTCATTAAATGCCGTATTATTGCGAAGCATTTCACTGCTGATATTTATGATACTAAGAAACAGACTCACGTAGTTGTTAAACGTATATTCTGCTTTGATCCTGATAGTGTGTTATCTCCACCATATTCCACAGTTCTTATATTTACGTCCCGAAATGTTGCCGTACGAAACCTGTGAATAAACTATCGGATCTTGAGTTTACAAAAAAATTAGTCATTCACGTTTTATAAGTGATGTTTTATTATTCAACATCGGTATTATGAAACTTTCGGTTGAAAAAGACCATTCAACTCAAATGATATACCGTAATCTTTAGTATTGAGGTTTCGAGACCAATTTATGACTTCTAATGTAAAGTAAAAAAAATTCCAACCTATTTGTTTACCAGTAGGTGTGAAAACATATTGGAAACCGGACTCTGATATATTTTTGTTCCTTAATTATCAGTAATGCAATGTGAGTGTCTAACTTCAAGTAATTTTAATCACTAGTAGTTAAAATCTTAAGTGCCATGCAAAATATAATAGCCATCATAATATTAGTAATATTCTCACATTTATATATACGACGGAATGTGAAATGTTCATATTACATACTGTTCCAAATATAGATAAGTACATTCTCGTTCTATTACTACCTTCATATGTAATTTTCTTTATCATCAAATAGGTATGAATTTTGATACCTTAACATAAAAAAGTATAGATAACCTATATATTTTGTTTAGTTATGTCTGTTATATTTGTATGTTATCTCTTGCTACTTCTAACATGTTTTCACTGAGTTAATACATAGTGTTTTATGGACTCATGTCCATTCACTCTTAAATAAATAAATTAAGAAATTATAGTAGTAAAATATTTTCCAGTTTTTATTATGATCTGTTTTAATCTTTAAACCATGGAAATGTTTGATTTACTATGGAAATAAAGACCTTATATTATAAGAAGCGCCTTTACTGTTTATGGACTCACAATTTACTGTTTCACATATCGTAGAGAATAATTAGAAAAAATTTCCTTAAGAAGAAACAAACAATAACTGTTAGTCGAACATAAGCAATGTAAAACCTGACACGTATGTACATCCGTTTATGTTGTCACACTGTGTTAGTATAAAAAGGTAATAGGCAGATATCACAATCCAAAATGTAAGGGAAGATGGAGAATGAATACGTTGTAGTTGCTCAATCACTTATTTTCACTTTGCAAGAGTAAACTTAATACTTGTTTTACAATTAACATTATCAATACTTCTAATTGTTTTTCCCCACTGTTTATTTGTCAGTAGTTAAACAGAAAACAATGTTATTATTGAGATACATACATCTAGTATTTGTATCATTTGTACTTTTGTATGAAACAGTTTAGTATAAAAACACTTAGTCATACATTTTGAACATTATATATATATATATATTGATTTTCATTCCTAGGTTATCTACAAAGCTTCCATCTCAACCTCGTTGTGTACAATCAATGGAATCAAATTGTTTATTAATCATTGTTTCATGTATTGAACATATGGTTTTATTGGAGCTTAAAAATAATTCATTAGTATTGTTGGATCAACTAGACGTTTCACTAGGAATGTCTACAATGAGTATTTCAAAAAAGTTGTCATTAATTGTTGTTGGATCACAGGTTCGTATTGTTTACAATATATATATATATATGCTTAAAGTTAGTATTTGCAAAAAAACAAGCGGTTGTCTAAGCATAGCTGCAACAGACGGTCACCATTATCTATTCTTTGAGCCACGACTTTATAAGATCCACCCAGGTGTCTTTCCATTTCGCTTAGTTCACCTACTTGAGCATTAAGGTCACCAGCCACTCTTACTACATCAGAGCGCCTAGCTTTTCGGAGAAGGTCGGAGAGCTTTCTGTAAAACTCATCTTTTACATCATCTGAGCTGTAGTCAGTGGGAGAATCGACAGAGACGACGAAAAAGCAACGACGAGTGTCCCTATCTTTCCGAGTCCTTACTGTTCAGTTTAGTGGGACTGTCTACTGGAATCTAGTTTAAGAAAGCTAGTTCTGCCCCTGGACTCAATGCTATACCTACACCAGCGAGGCCACCGAAAACAGCATCAGGGCTGCCAGAAACACGAGGCGTGAATCGAGGTTATTCTTTATTTTGACGTAGTGAGGTCGAGTGAATGACGCTACTCGGATCCTGTATGCGCGTTTCGGAGACACAACACACATCGATGGAGCGAGATCCTAAAGTCCTAGCTAAGGAAGCCCGTTGTCCTATTTGGCATAGTGTTCGAACGTTAAAAGCTCCTGCATGCAGTTTAGGGTGTGTGGTTACAGGGGACCAGGAATAACATTCCGTCTACTCGAATCGTTTGCTCTAGCGTCGCAAGGTGGTGCAAAAACCTGAGAATGGTTAGTCGCGAAGATAAGAAAGGTGTAGAAAAGATTTGATTGTGACCAACTTGGTTTCGTGTGCTGTTACGGGTATGGGGGCTGATATCACTTCCCGGCTGCCCACACCGTGGAAGGGTATTATTTGAAGAACCTGAAATAGAAGTCGGATTAGTGTTGGTCTTAACAACCTAAAGCATGACCGCAGAGCCCAGGGAGCAACTACTTGAAGCCGGTCGCGCTCGGCTATTTTGTGGGAGGTTTCAATGTGTTAGCTCCGTTCTTCAAAGGGCCTTACCGCCGGAGACAGAAATCCGTGAGGTAAGGTGAGGTGTAACATTTTTAGGGTCAACCTTTTCTAACCTATTCCTTCCTTTTGAGAAGGCAGCATCGCTGCAGATACTGGTTGCCCGAGGTAAACTACTTACTGCTGTCATACCCCTCCACAGTCAGCAGTACAACTTTGCCCTTAGATCTTGAGTTGCTGCTTTTAGTCTTACCGTTCTCCAATTGACTTGCCTGGCATGGTAGAACCTAAAAGGACATATGTTCCAACCAATATAGCTCGGTTGAATTATCACGATAGGTAAGCCCGACCACCGCGTCAAGGTAGCAGCTACGGTCGGGAAAGGAAACTATTTAGTTTATTGTATATTAGATGCAATAGTTTTTACATCACTGAAAGAAATTAACTTCCTAACTTTACAATGTATATTCTGCATGCGAACCAGATCAAGCCAAAAGAAAATATTTTTTGGTTGATTGTTATAAAAATTTATCATTTTAAAAAATATATATGTATTAATTACATATATTGTAAAGCAAAAGTAATAATTTTTTAATTAATCTTCATTGACCAAAATGTACGCGTACTAAATTTATTATGTCCATATATGTACATTGTTTTTTGATTGGTTGACGATAAATCTAATAGTATATTTTTGGTAATGCGTACCTTTTATCGATCGATGAATATCGTAAGAATAATCAGTCATTTTAAATATATTAAAAAAAAATTTTGTTGCATGGTAATTACTAAATGTAATGTCTTTATTAATATAAATAATTTCATTATTGCTTTTGATTTTGTTCTAGGAAGTTGAATTATTCTCTGTGTTTTCTATGTAGAGCAACATATTATTATGGTCAATCTCTCTACTATTCAATATTAACCAACTTTAGTATACAGACTAGATACGACATTTTTATGATATGTCAAATGTATTTTGTAAATATGTTAAATGAACCTTATCGTGCGTTGTGAGATAACTAGGTCATATATGCGTAAATTTGAAATTAAGTAGCATAGACATTTATTTTTTTAGCTATTAAAGTTGTTTATTAAAGTTTATATAACCCATTTGTCTTTAACAAACTGAACAGCGACTCTATCAGAATTATGAAAAATACATTACATTACAGAAATATGGATTGATCGGTTACCAGTTTATGTCAGTCCTCCATGTGCAACTTAGAACCTGACATGTGTATGCATCGGTTCCAATCGTTATACCAATTTTAAGTGACATCATGAACTGGTCCCAAGTATTTGTTTGGTGTTCCATCGGTTTCCTCTAGTATACTCCTACACAAGACATCGGCCATCGAGGTAAGAGGTGGTTGGCGATACATAACACATGTCCCAATCACCTCAGTTGATGAAGATTTACTGCTTCATCAACTAATTTGCCAACATTACCAGAACCCTATTCATAACCTCAGCATTGCCCATTCGGTCATCTCAAAATGTACAAGCCATGCTTCAAAAACACCAATTTATGTTTTCTAGTCCTTAGTACTGACCGAATTCTATCTATCAAGTTACGGTGTAGATATAGAAACAGATGACTTGATGTCACATTGCACCTTTTACCTATGTTAGGTGATTGGATGCAATCATTGATTAAAGCCCTAGACGTTAGGTTTTTTTGTCATGTGACAGCAATGCGTACAAGGCATTATTAAGGAACTGATTCTACTCGTGGGACTTACAACTGTATCATTATTTGTCGTAGTTATAAGCACTATTACTGAAATATCTGGGCTTTAACCAACCTCTTGTTGAATTGAGATTGTGGTATATACTACGTATATTGACGGATATAAACAGTATCTATCATCAATCGGAATGCATGCCTGCAGAAGGTTGTGAGGATTCAATTAAAGAAAACAGAAAGTAATTGTCATAACTACTGAATGGAAAGGATCATGAAGCATGTAAAAGACAACTGTTGGAAGGTGTGCGAATTATGTATTTAATGTAGTTTTCATATTTTACGAAAGCAATCTGTAATTTTGCATTAAACAATCAATCGGTTATCCCCACCTAAGTGTTCGTTCACTACAAGATGTCTGGACTAATCTATTACGCATTATTGACCAATATTTCGTTGACTAGTTCATGGACATAAATTATTTCTGCAATTAAACCAACTTCTTTGATTTTGCTTATATTTTTAATTTTGTTTTCGATAAAACTAACAGGATCTAGGTAGTACATCGTTTCGTATATCATCAAACCAAAAGTTAAAACAATTAAATCTTGTTAATGCTACCAATGTAACCCCAGAATTGATCGATTTCTCACCTAATGGTGAAATACTAGCTTGTGCAAACCCAGATCGTTCAATGAACTTGTACTCCGTAAGTATATCTATTCATTTTAGTTTTATATGCCAGGAAATGTTTTATCATGTTCTTTTTTATCACTCTTAATCAATTATCTATCTACACGATTTATGATACAGGATACTAGTTTGCAATCAATTGCTTAGATACATTGGATAATACGTTATAATGTGTAATTCATTTTGTCATAATTTGTCATGCCTTAGCATTATTATCATTCAAATGTTATAAATATCCTATTAGGGAATGGTTTATATTCTCTTCATTTTATCCCTTATGTGTCGAGTTGTATTAGGTTTAAAATTAGAATATCACTCGTTATTATTTTTCTTTATGGATCAACAACTTGTCTTTATATTTCTTATATAGTCAGTTATTGCCAACCGGTAATGTAATTCAGATTAACGATCATCCCTGAAAAAGAATTTATTTGCAAGATCTTAGTGATCGAATTTTAAGTAAATCCAAAGTTTCGCTCAGCAATCTGGTCCAAGCTTTTTCAAGGGAATATAATCAAACATCAAAATTATCGAGTATGAATAGGTACATGATTCTCCGGTTAACTGTATACTAAATAGATCATCCAATCATGTTATCCACTTAGCTACTGAGTCCTGATAGCCACTTGCTTGTGTAATGGGATGAGGTTTAAATTCACTTTGTATTGTTTGTTTGAATCTTCCCATTTATTTTTAGGACTGCAATTGATCAGTTTTTTATGTGATGCAGGTACATCCATTTGACGAGTCCGAAATAGGATGAAACACGTCCTGGATTCTACTGCTAGCCACTATCAATCTTTGCTTATAATGCTTGTAACTTAAGGCAATACACACGGTATCCACATGTATCAATAAGAGGACTGATCAGTTGCAGTCTTAAACATCAGTGGGAAGATTCAAGTAAACAATATCAAGTAAATTTGCATTCCTGTTCATTGCATTACTAAATAGTTATCTTTTTTTTAGAAGTAATATAGACCATAGTTTTTTTTGTTGTTGTTGTTGTGCAAATGTGTGCTTGTAAAATATGCTTGCCAATTACTCTCTTATCAAACAACGTTTAACATTGCTTCTTATCTGTATGATTCCTACTTTCAATTTCATCTTTAAAAATTATTAATTTGTTTATTATAGTCCCTATGATTATAAATGATTTAATACTGTCGTTTATTTTTCAAGATACCACTTTTTTTTAAAGAACGAAATATTGTCGGATGACTGAATAATAATTTTACATTATTTTGTTTATGTATAGATAATATCATTGTAACCAAAAAACCCATTTTGTGCTAATTTACAAGTAAATAGATGTACTGTAGATATAAATCAATAAATTCTTAAAATTACACTAATTTAGGTACTATTGTTAATAGTTTTAATTGTATAAATGAAAATGATCATTAGTGGTTTTGTTAGCTATTTGTAATGGACTATTTTAATTGCTCAGGACCCAATGTTGACACAACCCTACTGTATAATTCTTATATAGAGATTGTATGATAGTTCAATGCAGAACTATTACTGAAGTGTACCACCAACGTTTGCTATACGCGTCCTATATAGTCTGAGTAAAGAATACACGAACTGAACTACTGTTTTCAGTAAAGTTCATGAAGCAACTCTTAGGAAGTTTATAAAGTGTTAAAATCTGTTTATGGTGATAACTAACTGAGGAAAAAAGATACTTCAAGTAGATTGAATTTTCTAATGAAAATTACAAGGATAATTCGAAGTCAGATTTGGTATCAACTTTCAATGTTAGCATTCCATCTGTCCAGTCTTTTGTGCTCTTTAGTAACTTATTTACTGTCCAGATTGGTGACGATCGCTATGCACACTGTTCAGCTAAATTGTTTGAAGTAGAGAAACGACAACGTAGATGGAGGTTTTGTTAAAAACACGGGAAGATTTTAATCAAAGTTAATGAAAACAGGACAAGCTTACTGTTGCCAACTAAACTTATTTTAAAAAATTAAGATTGAAATGCCCTATATTCTGTAAAGTAGTTTTCATGATCCCGTTACGGGTGGACCAAACTACTTACGAAAATAATTTTCTTGTTTATTGAATAATCATCAGATCAGATTTTGATAATACTAGTCGTATGTAAGGAACCTTCGCTTCACCACTAATATTTCCTGAGCTGGACGGGAAGATTGCAAGTATTGAAAAAAAGTAGGTACCTGAAGCTCTAAAGCGAATCTCATCATTTATGACTGAAAACAATTTCCACAAAAAAAACAACACATAATAGTCTTCAATTCTCAGGATTTTCCAGTTTAATGGAAACCGACCAACTGTTGTGTATGAATAAAACAACAAAATATTGTGAAGAATGAGTTATACCCGAAATCCATACCATAAGATCATTCTAAAATAACATTGGAATATGCTCTGCTAATGTAGAGGCACTTAAAAAGTAAAAAATACTTTAGAACAATTACGAGATATATTTATCATAAAGTTATATTTTACCTCTTCTGTCTCATTGAGGCACCATAAAAAGACCGGAAATAACAACGTTTACAAAGTAAATACACTAGTAAAAGTAGAATTCACCTTTCCATCTTTATCAATAAAGTAAATAAGCAACTAATCCTACTGTATAAATTATTTAATCACAAAAATACTTGTGAATACCCCTAGTAAACTACACTAACGTCGTTAAATCACTGGATACAGTCATAAACTTCTACAGATTATATAATATATTACAAGATTTGTTTTATAAAATAGTAGTGTCTTAATATTTTACTTCATTTTTCAATGAATCCCTCTGCTTTCTTCTCAGTATTGGATAATCAGTTATTGAGACATATTTCTTTAAAGTTTATGTGGAAACAAGATACACTACTCTATGATGTAGATGTGCAAGGGATATGTGAGATTTATTTCATTTTTAATTAAATGTATTTCCTTTCATTACTTTTGTTCTTCCAGGTGACTTGTGAAGGAAATCAAAATGACCTCCCAACTCTTAAATCTGCTCTTTCTGAATGGTGGCTCAGACACTCAGCTAGAATAACCTGTATCAGTTGGAGTCCAAATGGTCGTCGCTTGGCCACTGGAAGTATTGATAGTTCTATTGTTATTTGGTCATTAGATGAACCAAGAAAACAGGTGGTTTTGACAGGTAAGTGATTTCACGTCAAAGTTATCTTTCACTAAAAGAAACTGGTCATAATTAAATTGAATGATTTGTGTAGTTTTCATCATGTATTCCATATGTTGGGAAAATCACAACTATTTTAACTTGATAGTTGATATCTTAGAATATTAAATACTTGGAAAGTTGATTATTTTACATGGTTGATACATTAATTCTGTAAAAAAAACTTTTCGGTAAATTATTGATGAGCTGTATAATTGCTTGTATTAATTTAGTATGTTTATGAGCAATATTTCCGGCAACAACAGTAGGTCAGTTTTACTATTGTAAAGAAATATGTTTTTTTTGAGATATTAATTGATCATGATAAGATTATATAATCAGTTGGTTTTTCTTTTTGATTTAATATCTTCTAATCTTTTTTTAAATCTTAATCATTCAGTTGTCGTAAAATATACATTAGGATGTTGAACTTTTAGTTATGGTTTCATTATCTGTGTACATGTTTGTGAATACTTGAAAATTATGCCAACGTAAAAATAAGTGCAATAGAAGAAATGTATAAGTTCATGTTTGCACTTATTGTATGTACTCAAATTTTGAGCTTGTTTCCAAAACATTTTACATCAATGTTAAAATTAACAAAATTAATAAATTTTAACTTAAGAAGAAAGCTAAAACCTTTTGACAATTTGTCAGTAAAAATCTCCATAGCTGTAACCACAATTAAATCCGTTGACAGTTGACGGTTATTTATCAACTTATAATTCATACGTTTCTTTGCTTTACTTGCTTCTGCTCTATTTAAATGTCATCGAGAGTCGATAGCTAGTGATCTGAGTCTTAGGTAACGCATTAACATTTGAAATAAACCGGAAATATTGAGGGTAATGTTCAAGAACTTAACAGAAATTGTAGTAGGAATCATTATCTTAGAATTCATCATCTGTTCTGTCTACCTCATTAAATCGACACAGAGTCTGGTTCACAGCTATAACTAGAAGAATTAACTGATTCGTTTCTATGATAATACACTTAGTACTACAACTAATAATTAATACAGTTATCCCAGGGAAAATGTACACATTAATGTATTAACGTAACGTCGAGTGATTATAGTAGTAACATTTATGTTTTCAGAATAAGCTTAAAACTGGGACTTCATCGACTGAATTATTTCGTTATAAAACATGACAAACAGGTGTAATTAATATTTATATGGATTGATAAAATTGTCTACGTGATTATTTCTTTTTATTTTAAGCGGCTCATCCTATGAGTAATAGCACTGGATTATGTTGGCTCAGTGACGATCGTTTGTTAAGTTCAGCGCACGATGGAAGCATTCGTATATGGCGTGTGTAGAATAAAGTACAGTTCGTATTCTATCAGTCTCTTGAAATGGTGTTTCCCAGAATATTTGTTTACGATTTGATTCATGTACTTGTTTCCCGCTTTCAATATTTATGTAATATGAAGTGTTTTGGTTTTCACTTTTTTTCTTGAATACCAGTATTTTATTTCTTTCGGGTCAGTTTTTAAAAAAAAATAAAATCTTTTTTAGTCTAAACAAGCTTTTCTTCGCTTTTTATAATTCAATAGACACTAAACTTATATAGATATAATTCCGTGGATGTCAATGTCATATTTGACAAAATCTGCGGTTGCAGACCGGGAAAATTCATAAAACTTATCTGAGCTTAACCGGAGTGCGATTGAAGATCGACTTTAATAGCTGCAATCGCACCGATGACTAAGTAACTTATTGTCTGGATTGAGATTCACTTTAGTAGTATAGAGATTTGAATTTCTGTACACAAAGTGAGTGGTTTGAGACTGGCTTCATGTCCGTCCAGGTATCTGTATAGAACTATTAAATGAACTGATACACTTGCCTAGGCCGTTGCATTAACCTGTACAACTGGACAGATAATAAAACATGTATACAAATATCGATATTTCACGAATGTTAGAAGTTTTATCTGTGTATACGTCTTTACAGAATATCACAACTAACAATTACCTTGGTGTAGTTATAAAGTACAAAGAGTTTTCTTAATTAGTTAAACAGAACGTTTTTTAATCTTCAAATTGGTCAGTTCGTTGAATTTTAAGTTTATAACCAGTAAAATGTTTTCAACTTTTAATAGCTCGTCCAAAATTTGCGGATATCCATCACGTTGCTTATCTACTTACTTTTAGAAAAATCCAGTCTCGGCAATTTCAATGCACTTAACTATTCGAACCAGACTTCTAAAATGTAGTAATACAACTGTCTATCAATTAATCCATCAATGAACAGACAACTTATCTGAAAATCATACGCGAAGATCTACTTTTAAATATTTTCCAAATGATTGTTGTTTGTGATATAAATGTGCAAATCAAACTCGGCAGACCTTAATAAATCACGAACACGAACTAGTTATAAAGCTACTGCGGCACGAAATCCTGCGTAGATTTTAAAGCAGCACAATCACTTTACCAATTAAAACTTTCATAACAATTCAGTCACAAGAGAATGAACCATGTTCAAGTTTTTGTATTTGAAAACAATTCGGAAATTATTTTAAAAAATATTAGAAATAGTATATTGGACCTATAAGTTTGAGTCTACAATCTTAAGGCATTCATCTGAAAATTCGACGAAAATAGGTTCACGCATAACATTTTCCAATGCAGAGTACGGTTTATTTGTATCATTCAAAAATCGAAGCAGACTCCGGAGATGAGGGTTCTTCAGTAGATCTCGAATTTTATCCGAGTATTCTGCGTAAGAATGACAATTAACAGTAACACTTACTTAAGCCTTCTAAAATTTTCTTCGGAACATAGTCGACCATCTCATCCTCTCGTTCGACAGTAGCATGCACAACCCTTGGTACACAGGTTTCCGGTTTGCACTCATTTTGTTTATGTTTTTGGTAACAGGCAAGTGAGCAACTAAAGTATTAGTGAACTGACAATTCAGCATACTATGGTGTAATACACCTCGGACATTTGTACTTGGAAGTTTCAATTGAACAAATTGCGCACAAAACCATTTCGTTAAAGGCCAAGATCTTCTTATAGATATCAACTGATAGTATTTTAGTTTGTCTGAAATAAAAACATTTTAGATACAAAATCGTTCTCGAGTAAAACGACAAAGGATGTGCTAGATTTTCTTCTGGACAACGTTTGAGGACTTTATGTTCACCATTATGAAGTTTCTGGGTAAGAGATGCGGACATAGTGGCGCTTTCATTGTGTTAGGTGTTTCTCTGTATTCGTCCTTACTTTTATAGTCTTAAGAAACTCAATTCTCTAGAACAATACAGAATAAACTGCACTGCCATAGACTTTTAAATTCTTTAGAACACGTGGAACTTGTCGCAACCACGCATGTTTGTAGTTGCATAACGCAACGTAACTCCTATTTTACCCACAGGTCTTGCTATTCCCGGACATTTTGATTTATTCACGACTTTGTAAGACTATCACGGTATCCTTTTTCCATTTTTTTTCTGTCGGTAATTTTATATTTTCATTTAAAGATATCATAGAAACAAGTATGCTCACTTATGTGGGGGTCTCAGTAGACAGGATGTCTTACGAAAATGTATTAAGAAACTAACTTTAAACTAGACGCAGATACAAAAAATATATATCTGACAGACCTATTTTCGTGTGAAGCAGAAGTTTATTTTCTTTTCTTATATCAAGGACGTAAAGGATCAAAGTTGTATTTCAGGCAATATTTGAAAGACGACTCAAGTCACTGAACTAAACAACCTGCAGGGCCCTAGACAGGGAGTCGCGACAGTCTAAAGAATGCCATCCTACTAGTCTTTGCAAAAAGCGGTCTTGAGTCATAGACTAACTGGTCATCCGCTTTCATCTCAAGTTCAAGAGTCGTTAATCGAAGCATTAAATAAAAACATCTGTGGTGATATTTTAAGCACATAACCATGCCGCCAGTCAGCTTCAATATGATTTTATATGAGTTGTCATCACCCAGCGTTAACACACATGGCGTTGTAGCGCTGTGTTCAGATACAATGTACTTAGGTTACGAGCGGTTACGTTTTATTGGTTATAAAATACAGTTTTTGAATACTATGTAGGCTGAATCAGCAACGATATGAATCAAGGTAATGATATAATACACTGACGAGATTGAGCACTTTATCAGACAATCACGAAAAGTTGTCATTTATATAGAATTTATTAAGAATTAACAAAATGACAATGAAATGAAGTCAACATATTAGGACAGTGTTGTGCGTACCATAGTATTACAAAGTTTTCGCCACAAACTGACAGCAGCTAGAATACAAAACGGTCAAGGTTATGCATTAATAGTTAAGGAACTTGCTTTGCAAATTAGCTAACTTTAGGATTAAGGATCCCATGACGAATTGACATCAACTGTAGTGCAATGACGTCAAGAACACTTAGTTTACAAATCTGTTGCTAGAATTGAACGTGAGCAGTAAGAGCAGAATATTTTTCTCCGCTCTTACTGCGGTTTAAGTCATCTAGCCACATTACACAAACTTAAATATGCATTGTGTACCTGACACGATACATACATCAGGAGCAGATATTCCATGCGATTTAGCTCAAGCGCCTTATATTTACTGATTGCTTGAATAGCAGGAAATTATAGTCTTTTATAATATGAATGATTATATATATAGTTTTAATAGAGCACTATTTACTCGACCTGTTTTAGTTGGTACCGTGTGGATAAATGACGACGATTCCTTGTTTTGGCACGTTCAAGTTAAAAATATATTATAAACCATGTGATGTGTTCCTCCTTTCGTGATTATATTCGGAACGAGACGAACGACCTTCAACAATTTTGAGAAGTGTACACAAATATTGAACGACGAACTTTGTATTACGAAATTTACAAACCATTGCATTATGAAATGTGCAGAAACGTTGTAGCGGTAAATAAATGTTGGATTCCGACCATATTAGTTTCAATGAACTTGCCCAGCTTAAGGCTCTCGGTCATGCAGCCGCATCAGAGCACAAGTGGTAACGCCGTGCTCGACATCACCTGCAATCACTAGCCAGCTTGGATCAGTCGATCCTCAATATATTCCCAACCTATCAAATACATCTTTGAACCTCCTCGCTTCTGTCTTTTGATTGCACTTGATGTTTACGAATCATAGTAGAAGGTGTTCTCACTTCCAAATACACGTGGTATCTTCTATGTTATTACTAGGTTAAAAGCTACTCGCTTGAACTTCATCTGAAATGTAAATGAGTGGAAACTATTTTTGAACTCCTTGCTTCGACGATTTAGGGCAGGGTATAGTTTGCAAGAAATTTTTGTGTAGTTTTTCTTCTCCATTCTATGTTTTTTTACCAAACATTCGATGCTGATGTTTTATCATAGTAAGGGGATATGACGCAAATATGTCTATAAAATATAGTTTGAAGTAACAATTGATATGCCGATGAAGTAAACACGTTATTTTCCATTGAACATACAAATATAACTTAGAAAATCAATACCACTGAGCGGTAAATAAATCTCCAAAATAAGTAGCTCTATAATTTTCCGACATTGGATGCTGACCACATGTTTTAATGGACCCACCTAGCTGAAGGCGCTCGGTCATACATCCGCACCAGATCACGTGTGAAAACGCCGTGCTCAACATCTACTGCAATCGCTAGCCAGACTAGACCAGACAATACCGATATATTGACAGTCGTCAAATACAACTTCTGATCTCCTCGATTCTGTCTTTTGATTTCTCTTAGTGGGTACGAGATATATTAGGTGTTATTGGTAAAAGCGTTGTCGAACACTGACTACCTGTGCCATCTTCACCACTATTTCGATATTCCTATAAAATCAGCTGCACCATCCACGAACACTATAATTTAAACCGATGTAAATTAGGTTACACGAAAATCTGTAGAATTATGGTCTACTAAGATATTAGTACTGCTCTTATAATAGACCTGATACTAAAATTGTAGATTTGTCATGATATAATCGCCTAATCTATAAGACCTTACGTGGAAGTCACACCATCGTCTACACCAACTCACTGTATCGTACCAACTACGAATACAAGATGGAGAACAAGCTTAAGCTAGAGAAAGAACAATATATTTAATATGAATAAAAGATGTAAAGTAATATTCAGCAGGGACCACGCCTGCAAGGCCGAGCTTTGCCATTCGGTCAACTACAATTCATTAAACTCCTTGTTCGCGCCTTTTACGTCGTTAGGTATTTCTCCGCGTTAAATGTTGGATATCTATTTTCCGAGTAATCTCGTATTGAGCTTTGAGGATTGTGTGGTTACGGTCCAATGCCACTACAAATCTACTTGATATTTTCGTAACAAGTCATGGGATCAGTTATCGGGTGTGTTTTATTCAGATAATGGTGAAGCCTTAGCATTTCGCAATGAAAAATAATGCTTTTATCCAGTTTTATTAGTGCAGTAAGAACAGAAGTCCCACAACCCAATTAATTCTTTTTCTAGTATCTAGTCTTCTCTTGAATGAGTCAATTGAAGTTCCGGACAACGCTGCTTCAAGTAACAGGTACCAATTTTTGATGGCTCGGTGTGAATACCTGTATGCCACGGGTATTTCTAGTGGGAATAAAAAAAGACGATACATTAAGTTCAGAATCTTAGTATTCTTGACATCAAAATCAGGTCACCTTAATCTGCGATAAGACAGAGTGCTAAAGTTCAAATTTTCAAGCCTCCTTGTGTATGATGAACCGAGGAGTTTTCGAATTCCACGGATACCTCTTATACTAATGTTCCTAAGTCAATTATCCTGTTTTGAGCCTATGCAACAAAGTTGATTGCCTTCATCTCTGCCTTCTCTGTATTAGGACTAGCTGTCGCGACTATTACACAGTCTACCTTAGCCACGAATTCGCATAATAATTTGTCTCTAGAGAACGGAGTAAAGGTACTTGACTGGGATCATCATGTGATTATTACATCCAAGAGAGACAAGGGGCTTCGTAATTCATGTCTGTTGATATCACTAATATACTGGAATAAAGCTAGAGGAGTTTTGGTTTATCACAATTTGCAATCAAATAGTGTTATTAATAACCCCACTTCTAAGTTTCTACGATTTATCTAAGTCTTTTACTATTAGGATTTTGCTTCTATTTCAAGAGAACTTACGTATTCGTAGAGGGAATTCACCTACTATACATTCTGGTCTGTGGTATACTACAACTAATTCAAGATCTTGCAGTTTACATTATGGCCTTCCGTCCACCAGTTTACATGTTCCTGAATCATGTGCCACTGTCGAGACGACTCGTATGGTTAAGGTATTTTTTTGTGTACAGAATAACCTCAAAACCACAACGGTTTAGTATATCAGCTCAACTAACTAAATTTCACCACACTACTCATCTGAAGTTAACCATACATCTGAAATGGTAAGGACATCGTAGTTTTCTATGTCATCCATTTTCCTGAGCTATGCAAATTTATTTTGTTGGTGTGAACATTTTTACAGCAAATCTTTAATTCTGCGAAGAGCCTTCTGTTACCAACTGAGTGGTTTGAGGATCGTTTCGCTCTGAACTTTTACAGTTTGAACATTCTAAATTTGAGGTTATTCACCGTTTAGGCGGCGCCTATTTGCTACTACTACTGCTGATCGTCTCTAAATACAACCAACAGTGCTGAGATACTCAGGTACATATATATCGGATCAAATCAGTTTGCGTGAGTTTCCCAAAATCAGGTTCCTTTCTTCAGCTGAAGCAAAGGTAATCTTTAAGAAGTGGCTTTTGTGAGTAATTTCGGGATCCATTTTTATCCTATCCTGTAAGGTTTGGAGATGTTTCTCTGGGTAGATAGATTAGTAATGATATGTGGCTGAGATTGTGTTCAAATCTAGGTTTTGGCTCCTTTTCGGAAGATTCTCTTAACTTATGAAAAGTGAATGACTTATCTAGCGAGGTCTGTCTCAACGCGTTTTATATTTTTAATTCATGATATCTACTCCCTGCAATCCGATAACATGTCGGACGCAGATTTCGCACTCCGTCTTCTTAATTTGTTTATGTGTTATTATAATTAAATCATCTAAATTATTTCTCTTGATCACATCATCTACACTACTCTGCTCCATCGCAGACTGTTTTGTGTCGAAATGTCCATCAGGAACAGGACACAAATAGCTCAGTGCTGCCTATAATTTATTTCTTCTCAATGTGCCTTTTCTTTTGTCTTGAAATAATACCTACTACTATGTGATTGTTTCTCGGTTCTCTAATGGAGTCCACCCTGATGACCTAATTCAAATCCGAAGCTAGGTTCGTGATAGCACTCCATATTTCTTCAAGAAAATTTGCTAATGTATTGCAGCCTGTTTGTCTGACAGCAGTTTTCTAGCTACATTCAACAGCTCAATCTCCTCAGGAATAACTAGACAGTTTGTAGAGCGGCATGTTTACACAGCCAACTTGATAGTGGTTTGCAAAACCTTCATGCAGTCGGTGTGGTACTGATGCACAAATTATGATACCGCTTATTGCAGTTGTCAGATTGCATTTAATCTCTGACAGAGAAACGGCATGCAGGTCTCCCACAACGATGATTCACTTGAGCTATAAATAGATTTGTGACCTCACAGGAAGAACAATAACAAAAACTGTTCTCCAGAAAAATGTTTTAAAGCTTGAGAGGTGATGGAAATTGTATGCAACTGTACTGTAGCGTCGAGTCGCGGTTGATTATGATCACCACTACAGAAATCAACGTGCCAGTTAGTCGATAAGATCCCCCGTAGGCCAAATATCAGAAGGCAGTTGATGGCTGTAGTCGAGATGTATTTGTTGGCGACCTCGTGGCACTGAAGGAATACCGAGAACGTTCCAAATGAGTCAAAGTGTGGTTACTGAGAGTAACCGAGTTCGTGCAAGGTGATAATCAATGGAAGATTGTATGTTCTTAGTACAGTTAAACGATCCCTGGTACAACCGGTTATAATAGTAACTGTTTCTATCGCACCAATCGCGTTCTGTTGATAAAAATAAATCACTACACAATTGTGAATAACAACAATGAAAAATCCGACCTTAATACATTTGTATGCAAACAACATACGTGTATCAACGTAAATTATCTTAAAAATGACTCGAAAATTCAGACTCAGTAAATCATATTTAATTCACGGAAAATCTCATAGTTAATGTCACGAAGAATATTTCATTTGGTGGAAAATTCGAATCAGACACGTGACGAGATCATATGAACTCTGAAATTAGCAACCCGAATGTTCGAGTAATCTTAATACTTCTATAAACGTCCGAGCAAACTAGGATAAAAATAAAGTTAGAATTTAATTGACTCGGGTTTTCGTATTCCAGTGGCAGGGTTAGTAGTGTTAGTAAAACCTTCAAACGGTATTCTTAATTCCCCATTTTGAGAAATGTTGCCAGAGCGGTGTTTGGTTGAAAGAGCAGATAACCCGCTTCCATACTATAAAAAGAAAGTCAGCGAAATAAAAAAACAGTAGAGTTAAAAGCGTGAAGACAAAGTGAATCGAAACATACTGATATATTTGTGATAACCCAATGAGTAAAATCAGAAATTCTGACATTTCATGATAAGGAGTCTGCTACTTCTTTATGAAACATCAGCAGTTCTAATTTTTACGCATTGGTACAACACAAAACTTCCATTATTCTGTAACTAAAATTCTATCCAATGCTCAATTTGTTTAAAATACTAAGCCTAAAGTTGATAATGATGGCTAGGAAGTGAGAAAATCGGGCATATGTTTAGATTATTCTAAACGGTTTGCGAACTCTCACCACTTATTTTGTTCAATTATTTACTAGCATTCTGAATGAGGCAAAAGTAAATTTCAAGTTTTTGCATATCTTGACAAGTGATATCGTAATAAAAATTGAAAGATAGATTATTGTTAGGCAGCAGGTAATAATGAAGACTACTGACCCATTTAAAAATTAAATTCTGTCCAACTCAAAGTATGTGGTCTAAGGTCAATTTTTAAATACTCACGAATATGCGCTGTTTGAATTTAATCAGGTTATTTCTAACAAACGTTAACTTCGATTAACTTTCAAAGTAGATATCAGAAAAATGAGGTACAATATGTAGTGTCAGGAGTTTATGTTTGTGAAAATGACTGAAAGATCAAGATTTCCTAGTCAATATTTACTTACTACATGCTGAAAAATATGCTTCTTTTGAACACAACCAGACTTCCACTTTCTAGATGTTTTCTGAGATGAAAGTGAAAAATGGATGAAAGTAGGAATTTTTGTAGAATGTAGATTAGAGTAGTTTTGTTTATTTGCATCGACCATCTGTGCATTATCACTGAAATAGAGAGTGTAACCATAAATAAGCCTAGCAACACAAATATAACTATCACGTGTGCAGTATATTTCCCTAGATTAAAAGTATGAAAAATAAGTAAGCATCAGGCATTTAGTGATTAGAAGATTCGACATCCAATTACTGGTTTTCAGGTTCGATCATTATGACACGTTATCTCGATTTAGAAAGCTGAGTGATGATATATTAAATGTGGCTGAAAACCGAATACATGAACCTGTAATCGATCGAGTAAGGATACATGGAATGAAGGCCATCATTACTGAAAGCAACAAATATATAGTGTTTCACACATAGAAGTAATCACAGTCATAAACGCATCGAGTTGCTTTGGATACTTTATTCTGATTGACAATTTATCGTCCTAATCACTTATATATCGAATGGTTTATAATTAGGTACAGAAAGCGATAAAGCTTGTATTTACGAAACGTGTACAAGCAAACATGAGCAGGTAACTCATTGAAATGAGTTATTAGTAAACGATTTAACTAAAGCTCAATTACACATAAGAAAATTTAACTTTCACAAAATGAGTTGATGCATTTTGTAAGTGATCATATATATATATATATATATATATATATATATATATATATATATAATTTCTTCCGAATTCATTGAAATGGCCAAAAAATCTCTGAAAACTGAACAGAAAAAGATAATTTTGGATATAAATATCAAAGCTTGGTGAAAATAGGTAATTATTGAGAATTTTAATTAATTCAATCGGTGGACTCGGTTGACAGTCAATAGTTGTTAAAATTTATATTTTAATAGCAACAACATATACTACTTCACAATGGATCGAGTAAACAGATAATGTTTACAAAGGTTCCATCTTTCCACAACAAACTGTATTATTTTGTAACAAACATAAGAAATAACTAACCCATAAGAATCAGGAACATCATTTTTCGATATATTCCTAGGATCCTCAGGAAAATCCTCATCATTATTACACTTCCCAGTGACTGATTCGTTCTCACCAGGTAAAATGAATTTATTTTTATCTAAAGGAAAGCGTTCATCCATAAACAAATAAATGACGCCGGTTAGTCAAAAGAACTTGGGGGCTTTAAAGAAAAGAACTTTAAAAAACTGAATAAAAATATTTTTCAGTGATAGTTAGTATTCGAATATCAAAAGTTCACACAACCAGTTAAGAATTGCCTATTTATATGTGATAAAGCAATGTATTATTTCGTTGCTTACGTACTTCATTAGTTAGTAGAGGACTATTATCAATCAAATAAGTACAGCTTAAATTTATCACTATTTTCTAAGGGATTTATTATGTTTGCAGAAACATGTTATTTGGAATAATACATACTGTCTATTTAATAATTTAAGCGGGATGATTAGACTTGTCATTTAAAGTACAACCTCTTTTCGATTAGGAGTTCTCTAACACCAAATCATGTATACAAACCAGCTAAAATTGCAAAATTATTGAAAAGAGAAAGCCACACTAAAGAAACAGTAACGAAAATCGTACTGTAATTTTGTGTTTTGTTTCAAACAGCTATTTTAGTTACTAGACAACTCTTGAAAACAATTACAATAACATACCAGCTTTGGTAGATTTGTATGTGAAAGTATCAGGTGGGACACTTCAAACAAGTATACGAATTTCCATAGCTAGGGACCATTGAGTAGAGAGAGAAACTTATTCACTCTTTATCCTCAAGGATCAGGAGAATATGTTCAAATGACACAATAGATGACGAAATACATCAATTTCGAAAGATACTCATCAGAAATGACTATCCACCTCGATTCGTCGATAGGAACTTAACACCTATACATTCTGAAGACTGCTCAAAAAGAAACTTTTTATGAACATATAATTTAAACAAGATACAGCTGCTGAAATCTAGAAAAAACGGATTTCAAAAACCCTGAATGAAACGTTCTATTCAGCTATACTCCGTATTGTTTTCTCAAGCCGGCCTACCATTCATGGATGCATTAAGGATAACCTTCCACATTGGGCCATGTCAAAAAGCATTTTTAACTTTATTTACTCCTGTAGGGCAGGTTATATTGGCCGTACAAAGCGATCACCTCCTAAACGAATCTCAGAACATTACCCGATACGGCTTTTAGAAGGAAAATGCAAAAGTTACCAGATCAATACAAGAGCATTAAATCAACTATGGACAAATCGATCCGAAAGAGTCTTCTTTTTAAAGAAATCTACATAGTCAAAGGAACTGGGTCGAATGGAGGTCGAGTCAAAAACTTATCAACTCAACAAACAGCTGAACAGACAATGTGACTAGCACCGCAACAGAAGCATCACTGTACATCACAAACTAATTTGACTTATTCATTATTTAGAAAATTATTTAGAGGTCGAAAACTAAGATTATGGAGCACACAGAAGTCGATCTATATTGAGCATGTGCCACACATTGTCAATAAACAAAACCATTGATCAATTTTGGCGAAAATTTATTAAATAAATAGTACAAGTCAGTAAAGTAACAAACATTCTAGAACTTTGCTTTCAACTAAACTTACTATCCAAATGAAAGGTGCATTCCAATGATTAAACATGAAGTATTTGGATCAATAAGAAACATTAAAACAAATTGTTGGCTTTATTCTAACATAAAATCCAAAGAACGGAATAATATTATACTAAAATTTCTGTTTTGTTTTTAATATTTAACTACAATTTCTATCGATATATATATATATATATATATATATATATATATATATATATATATATATATATATATATATATATATTACTTGAAAATATAATGTTGCGTAACCTCTTTTTACAAGAGCACCAAAACTGAGTATCAAACCCATACTTAAGAAACCAAGAAAATTAGACGAGATATACGAAAGTTGGTTTATAAAAATCATATAAAAACGTTTACTTACACTGAAAGTGACTAAGATAGTTATTATATGACGCAGAAAATTATATTGTAAACAGTTTTAAATGTTGTGTAGTAATACCATATTGTTTCGGAAAGAAATTAGCTTACTTTCGAAAAATTCGGTAGTGAAATTATCCAACTTCTCATGACTTTCGTTTTTACTGTCACAAGTATCTTTAAAAAATGACTTAACTTGTTCAGGATTTTCTGACTCCTTACATTCGAAGGTTGTTTTGAAAGAGTTTGAACTGGTTGAAATATCATTTACATTATAGAACCCAGCAAAACTAGTACATGAGTTATGTAAAACCGCTAAAATGCAACGCCATCGTCTGTTATGAGTTATTACTTCATGTTTTAGATCGGAAACCTTAATTCTAGAAAGAGAATGACAATAAACATAAACAATCAGAAAGATAGCTAAAGTATATGAAACTAGTATGCAATTACACAAAAAATCTAATCAAAATGGGAGAACAGAACGATAAAATTCTGTGTAAACTGAATCAATAAACAACATACTGTGCCACCCATAAGCTAACAACCACATAACCGTCTTACAAAAATAAGGCTTACAGTATATATCTATAAGAAATCGTAATGAGTACTGTCTCTACTTGTTTAGCACTGTAGTCCTGTGAAGTTGTAAATGTGATCATTAAAATAAGAAGAAAGTAGTAGAAGTAATAACTGAGCGGAAGTCATTATTAATTAACATATTCTTATCGAATTGAGAACCCTACTTGGTGCAGTTACCAAGACGAAGGAGTTTAAGTCAAAAATTTGACTACCAATTAAAAACTTAACTCATTGTACAATAACAAAAGAATAACTCATGTTGTACAACTCAGAATAGCAAGCCAAGTAATTTTCAGATGAATTTGAACCATAGCTACTAATGACTCTTGGCCGAAATTCGAAATGATGATTTTGAAAAATCATTTTCGAGGTTGGCTTAGTTAGGACTCTCATGAAAATATATTTCCCGAATCTTTCCTTCTGAAGCTGGGTCTCATCTGGTTTTGCAGAGGTTTTCCTGATGCCCTTTACCATTAAGTTATCTTGTTAACAACAGAATCTTCCGGTCCAAAATGAATTTTTAAATAACTGGAGTGTTTTTATTTATATTTAATGTATCGGGAAGCACGTCCAGATGAAGTAGAGTGTGTTGTGTTTATCTACGGAATATACAGACGATTTTTGTGCTTGATCGATCTTCTCCTCGTACATCAGCGATACCACGGAGCCCAAAAAAGTGTTGCAATCGATAATTCCTGAAATATTTCGCCCCTAGACGTGAATCCAACAACTGGAAAAATATTGTTGCCTCGATGGAGGAAAGAAGTTGAAATCTGGTCGCGAATTCTGTTCCATTAGACATTTTATTGATAAAACAGGCCAGGAGTGGCTACATTTGGCATGCTTCAATAAACGAGGGCTAATCCTGTAAAAATTCATCTGTCTTTCCTTTACCTAGGAGCTTTCAGACAACAACAAAACCACAATAATCATAAATAATTTATTCAATCAATCTCAACTCAATATTCACGATGAATTATGACCATCAATATCTGTTGCATAAACAATGGTACATCAAGCAGAATTCGAGTAAGTGACATAATGAATGAAGTCGAATGCATACGATAATGAACAACAACTCCTTTATTTACAATGGTCAGAAAATTAAAATATATCTTTAAGAGTTTAATAAACCAAAAGAATTATCAATCGATATAGAGTAGATGATCCGGTGCCTAACTGTGATTAAAACATTCCTCAAGTACTTGTTTCTAAAATATACCACATATAATAACATCTTGTTGTTGTATCATAATGAGTGGAGAAATTGTATTTTTGAAGTTTTGTGACCTAATGTAAGCCGCTTCCTCAGAGAAAAAATATATAAAATATACCGGAGATAGTTGTGGAGCTGTAATAAACCTTATATATCCAGTCTTTACTGCAATTACAAAGGACAAATAACTCTAATTGTAGTGTGAGCTTGATTTCAAGTTAATAGATAGACAACTTGTCAGTATATTATAATTCGCGCATGTCATTGTACAATAAACATATTCATTGTATTAGCATAATGATAAGATAACGAAAAAATAAGTTTATAATAATGAAATATATCCTGGCAAATAATGAGATTAGTAAGTTCAAGCATGATTATTGAGTAGAAAAAGAAAAATGTGAAAATCCGAATTCAGTCTGCTAAATTAATAAAATGACTCTGCTTTCCAATATGTGTGGTCAAATTAGGGCACACTAATAATTCGCACGATAAGTATGGGGTTTTGATCATTTTACAATTTAAAGTTCAGATGTTAATATTAAACAGATGGAAATGATGTGGCATAAATAATTCGCAATATCATGATAAGTTTAAGGCTACACTTACTTTACTCTATTAATTACCATATACATTTCTTTATCTATACATTTCTTGCTGTAACATGGAAATATTAACAGAAATTTCTTGGTTTGTGATTTGATATACTGATATTAAAAAGAACAAATAAAAAGATAAAAGATACACTATTGATGAATACTAGAGATTAGACAGAAGTTAGACTATAAGCTTAATGATAGCATGAAACCTCCGACTTTGAACACTATTATATAATTCCATTCAACATTCTAAATGTATCATCTACAGATTTCGAACGATAAATAAGTGTGAATTTTGAATCATACCTAACTTAAATCGTCAGTTTAAAGAACATACATAAAAACTCTGAGATCATAACATAGATAAAACCAACCCAGAAAAACTGCTATACATTCTTTATTATTTCAGCATTCAATCAAGTTCTTATTAAGTAATTGATAACGATACTACCACGATACTTAAATTTTGTTAGGATAGAAACGTTTCATAACTTTAACGCAATGGTTGAAAGAAGAATGACATAACCACTGAGAATATATTAAATTTAACCTATATAGACGAAAAACGAACTATTATTTAAAAGAACTATTAGTTCACAGCAAAAATACCTCTGTATATTTTACTAACAAAACAAAAGTACACTAAATAAGTACATTGATAGTCAGATAAAATCAGCTTTATCATTTACTGCGTGCTACGAAGAATGGGAAATAACCAGAACTTTTATAACTGAATAAGTTAATGTCATGTAGCACACATTTAAACGCTTTGTATTTCCATATGAAACATAGTGAAAGGATGCATATGAAAAGATTTTATGTATTTGGTAGACGGTGCTGAAGACATTTAGTAATAAAATTTTACACTGAAACACTTTCATTGTGAAAGGAACAACACTTTTCAATACAGAGGTTCAAGTAAATGGATGAGCTTTTATGACTTTGCTTTCTTCAAAACTACGTCTACGGTAACCAGTAATCCTAGTTGACAGTGAAACAACAATTAAACATGCAACAACTACAATTTGATGAGGGCTTATAACCACGATAATCGACTTAACATTACTTTCTAAAATATTACGCCTAATCCCAAATTACTAATCTGGTGCTCTAATTATAGCGAACAATTCTGCGTAAATACCTGTAATCCAAAACTAAAAAAATACAAGTCTTCTGTTTCTATGAGTCAAGTTTCGTACACCTACACTCATCTAGATGACATTTCAGATACCTTAAAGAGGAAATTCTGGAAAAATAGCGGTTACTTACTAGATCTTCGGCAACTGAAAGCTTTTGAGCAGTTCCACTGATTTTTTCTAATAGATATTTTGTTTCTATAATGTAACTTTCGTGAAGCAAACTAACAAGTGCTGATAACTGAGTATTGGAGAAAAACATATTGATTTTCGACTGGCCAAGAATTTTGTTTACTTCATTCCAATTTAGCTTAAGACAAGAATTAAGATTTTTATTACTCTAAAGGGAAATATTCCGAAAGCACTTTTATAAACAGTATGCAAGCAAAAAAACTATCTTCAAAGTATAAAATTAAACCTTTTCAATCTTAATGATATAATCATATAGTACTTATAATACTTCAGGATTTGTGTACAGAAATATTTAAAGCATTTAGGTATCAACACAAAAACGTTTCAAATGTGACTGTAAAATTGTATATCAAACGGATTGAAAACCAAGTTTCTGCACACAAAGACAAAAGAGATTTCATTTTTATATAATGAAATATAACTATGATGTAAGTCACACCTATTTTTTTATGAAAAATGAAAAATACGATCAAATCACGTGCACAGTAGTAAACAGAGAACAGTATGAACATATAGATATGTAGTTCACGAGTCAATATTAACACTACGTTCCCACCAACAACGTAATTAATATTGTTATTATATTGTTGCATTCTCCACATATTTGTTGGGCAACTCAAACATTCAATGATACCACTTGAAAGTTAAGTGAATGGTCACGAGAACTTTTCTTTTATCTATATGGTTATTTAAGCTATTAGTGCAAATGATACAAGATCATAATGTACCAGCAGTAATAAAATTCAAAAAGAGGATAACAAGTCTTCAATTATTCGAACGGTAAAAGATATGCCAATGATTACGTTACAACTCAACTATAAGATCATTGAGCGACTCATTAAACAACATTAACGAATTCTTGGCCTATTAAGCCAATCGAAAAGCAGCAAATGAAAATAAGTAATTTAAAATACTAAGAATAAGATTCCGAGTTAGGGATTTCATTAAAAACTGACATCAGATATTTATTTATTCCATAAATTTCTGATATTTAAAACAACGAAAAAAACCTATTGAACTTTTAAACTAAGTGAAGACATTTCAGAGAAGAAAAATTTCCCTCCGAAAATATCATTTATCAGTCCTGTACAATGGTATTTATAGTTATATTTTTAAATACGATGGCCAATAATAAAAATAGAGAATTATTACATCAATAACAGAGGTACTGAAAGACAAACAGAATTTAAAGTTACGCAATAGGTAGGAACGAAAAATGAATTATACCCTCGATGGTTATAGAGAAGATAAGAATATGAATAAACACGTGTTCAACCAAGTTATAGAACAGATATGTGAAAAATAATTATCCACTTGAAGAGGTTAGGAAAATAAAGAAAAAGCAAGCACATGCCAAGAAAAAACTGAAAGAAAAGTAAAAATGATCGCTATAAATACAACCGTACAGATGTAGTGAATGATACCGGCGAAAAAATTTTTTCCTCACCGAAACATCTTTACCATGTTTATGCAATTGGTTCCCTTTATGAATTTAAATAGAGCAAGAACAAACATTGATGCAGAATAGTATGAATTCATATTATGTCGAGGTTTCTCTTCAGCTGCTAACAAACCGAAATTGTGATAGAATTTTTGTACATGGAGATAGTGTGAAACAATTGACATGAGTGTAAATGACTGGATTACAATAATAACTATATATATATATGCCAGAAACAGGTCAGAGGTAAAAAAGGGGTTAATTCAGGTTGGGTGGTATAATAGTTTAGTGAAGTTCATAAATTGTGTGATAATTAGAGAGATTAATGGGATTGAATAATGATAAGGTAGATTACGTAATAATAATTAAATAGAACTTGAAAAGTTAAGATAATTTAAGAGCATCAGGTGGTGGAAATGTGTGAATAAAATTTTAGTTTAAGAAGTAGGTAATAGGGGGGAGTATAAAATATCTTAAAATAAGTAAATGAATAAAATAACCAAAACACAAAAAAACAAACGGAAACAAAAGAGATTACCAGGGTAGTGATAAGTTTATCAAAGTCTCTTTTTGAATGTATAAATCCGGTTTCAGTTTCTTAATTGCAATGGCTTCAGCAAAGTGGAGAGTGGTAGAACTTCTTTGTCTATTGATAATTTTAAACGCGTGCAGAATATCGACGGTATGCCCGGTGTCAAGTAGATGCCGAGCTATTGCACTGTTGAAAGCTTTAGTCCCTCGCAGCGTCAAGTTCTTCGGAATATGCTCAGAAATGCGAACCTGTACTCTTCTCTCAGTTCTTCCAATGTATGTGAATTGGTAAATGCAGTTGGAGCAACTGAGGGGAGAGGACTTGTCGATCTTCGTTTGTTTCACACAATTTATGAACTTCACTAAACTATTATACCACCCAACCTGAATTAAACCCCGTTTTTGACCTCTGACCTGTTTCTAGCATATATATATATATATATAGTTATTATTGTAATCCAGTTATTTACACTCATGTCAATTGTTTCACACTATCTCCATGTACAAAAATTCTATCACAATTTTGGTTTACTATGTTTAGTTTTCGATATTGTTAACCATAAATGTAATCAACTTGAGCTATGTACACTAATCCATCTACATACAACTATAACAAAGTAAAAAGGAAGTGAATATACAAAATCTTATCTGATTATTTGAGTTATTTATGCAAAACCTCAAGTAAAATAAACTTACATAATCTGAATTATCATTATTGTCATATGAACTAATAACATTAAGCGATTTTAAATCATAAGTTTCTACCTGATGGGATAAGCTAATAGATAAACAGAGAAAAAGAAGGAAAAAACACCTAAATACATAGACAATGAATAAACAAGAGAGCGTATAATAAACTTTATCAGTTGGATAATCAGTGAGAAATAGAAAGTCATAAAAAGAAATAAATTTCACGTTTTTTAACTTTGCTCATAAGACTTGTGATTTAAGGTAATACCGAAGCAGTCCGCACAGGATGCACATATGTCAACAAGAGACTGGTCAATTGCAGTTCTAAACAACAATGGGAAGATACAAGCAAACAATACCAAGTGGGTTAACATGTAATAATGTTCATTTTGTGTTAAAATTTTGTTTATAATTGTCTTACCTTTATTTTAAGGACTTTTTTCGGCCAGTTATTCTGACCTACAATTTAGAGAATAGTATAAAAACACATCGATCTCATAATCAGCTATCGGTCGTGTCATCTATTGATAGACATTCTATTCACTATTTTAGCAACCTAAACTTTCTCATACCGAACTCAGAACCCTTCATAATAATTAAAAGGTCACGAAACTTTATTGGACGCTACCAAAGATATGCCCCCAAATGCCCTGGTACGGCCAAGGGTGAGTAGAGTCCACTCTCCCTCTCGAAATGCTCTCACATGGCCACATGCATACAACTACTGTCAGGGAAGTCCTACTCACTGCCTTCTCGCGAAATTACTGTTGTTTACGAAACTGAGAGGACCAAAAGCGAATATTCGGAGCTTTACCCGGGTTGGTAGACACAGAGAGTTTACCTAGGGGAGTTGGGAAAACCTGATTCTCAACCAATAATGCACATGGGTTCCAGTATCCTGAAGGAACAAATGGAGCATGAACCAATTGTTGGTCACCAACTACCATGGGACTGCATCTCTCTACGTTGCTCCACTGCCTTGTGGATTAGACCTTTAGGTCAAAGGATTCGGGTGTGCCCCCCCCCAAGAAAACCACCTGCCTCGGTCTGGGCACCCGGGGAGTATCACAGACCACACACAAATAAAATGAAACGAAAATAATTACTGGTGTGGATCTCTTACCTGGATAAAGACTTCTCGACCTTGAGTATGCGGATGATATTGTCTTACTGTGCAATAATGCCCAAGCCATGCAATCCGCACTTATTCAGTTGGCAATCAGTGTCCGTAGATATGGTATGTGCTTTGCATCTTCGAAGTGCAAAGTACTTCTACAAGACTGGTAGGACCCTGATCCTGTACTCATCCTGGGTAGTGAGGAGATAGAAATAGTCAAGAAGTTCGTTAGCTGCATAAGTGCTGCTGGTGGCGTGAGTGATGAGATCAATGCACATATAGTGAAAGCCAGAGTGGTTTATGTCAGTCTGGGCCATCTTTGGCGCCTTCGTGATGTTAGTCTGGTTGTAAAAGGTCGGATCTACAACGCGTCGGTGGGAGCAGTCTTGCTTTATGCTTGTGAAACCTAGCCTCTCAAAGTTGAGGATGTTAGACGACTTACTGTGTTGGATCATCGTTATCTCCGAAGGATTGCTGACATCCAGTGGCGACACCATGTTAGTAATGCAGAAGTTCAGAATCGTGTGTTCGAGCACAGCGACGATAATTCAACTAGTCACTTTTTTGAAACATAGACTTCGGTGGCTTGGACATGTTCTACAAATGTCGTCCCAAAGTATTCCATATCGTGTATTATTTGTCAAGGCTGGGACTGGTTCGGAAAGGCGGACAGGTGGTTAGTATGTAACATGGGGCCCTGGTGTGAAAGAAAACTGTTGAGGACTGGCTTCTGTTGGTCCTTTACAACTACCTGGCTGGGGGGTCCTAGAGATGGTGTAACACTGGCTAGAGACGTTATCAGATACGGTCAATAAAAAATGGACGTAACTTCTTTAACTGAAAGAATTCTTTCTGGTTGTATATTTGCTAACTGAATTGATTCTCCATTATTATTTTACTGTCATACACCTATTTCTGTTCGCTATTGTTCCCCTTTTTCTCATACGCACCTTACATTTTTTAATCTCTTCACATTCTCATTGTTGTTGTATTTGGTGCCCCTCTGTGCCAATATTTATGTGTTCAAATAAATAAATAAATAATAACAAGGATATCAAAAAACAAATAGAATGAATCGAAAACTAATAATCATAGAATAGATGTGTGTAAGGAAACTCTGTTACGTATACCAATACAAAACTAACTTTTTCTCAAGTGCTTGTAGAATCTTTCGACTCTTTGATAAACCATCATGTTTAAGAGTTGATTTTCCAGGTTTTAAAAGAATACGAACAAAGCAAATGGTCAGCATGGATGTAAACCATAACCCAAACAGCATTAAAACGCCTACAATCAGATAAATACTAGGGCCTGAAATAAGTAAAATATAGACAAAGGTTGAGTTTTGATTTTTTTATGCACCAACTGTATCAAAAGAACTGTCAACAGATGCCCTGATACAGCCGATAGTATGGAAAGTTTAATTCTCCCTTTAAATAGTCTAATACGACCGCGTGCTTGTAACATCTTTTAAGAAAGCCTTATTCGATTTTAGAGAAATCCTGGAAAAATTCCAAATTTTAAAGCGTCACATATTGCAAAAACCACAGTGGGCTCTTTTCAATCACGAGAATGAAATTTCTACCAGGGAACTGGCGAGATTATTTGAGATCTGTCAAGTTGTGTTGTATCACCCTGAGATTGCCTGTTGAAGAACGTGAACCATAAGTTTATCGCCATTGTAAAGGTTATGAACAACTCCGCGTCAGCCTCTTCATCTTTTAAATAAACATTACTGTTTATCTATCTACTGACTACATATATGTAGGTGGATAGTCTAAGCATTTTCATTATGGTGAGCATTTACAAAAAACTTTGAATTATTCACTAGTAAAAAACACTAAATATTCCTAATAATACAAGCAGAATCAGTTGTGATATATATCAAGAACGTTTAATTGAATTGGCTTAATGAAGCACTCTTAGACATGAGAGTACTTAAAAACAGACTTTGAACTAGAAAATCTCTAACTAATGCATTTCACTGAATCAACCATCGACTAACCAGCATATATGAACCAGTAAAATACATAACCTAGATTTAAAAAATTCATATGTCTTTGTTATATTCATAACATAGAAATGTTTGGAACACTGGAGTATCAAGATATAACTAGCATAAGTTAGTAAAACTTTCTTGATTTAAGTGATTGAGGCATGTGTTGTACACGCATAATCACTGCATGCACTGGAGTGTTTCGCTATCAAGTTGTCAGGTCCCGATAAACATAATGAATGGTAACTTTGGGATCCTTTATGGACCAATACTAAACGTATATTTTATCATATAATTGTTAAATAACTAAACTATTCATATTCCTCTTATTATAAACTTTATTTTGATCTATGAACCATTATTATACGTTTTACCATTCTTGAATTATGCCCTGTCTATTAGTCACGGTCTCCCACATTCACAGCCACATTTGGCCAAATTTTGTACAAATGTTATTTTCTATTTTTATGCTACGTTGTGGTCTGCTTGGTCGGTATATGAACTCAGTATGTTTGAAATATAAGGATTCATATTGCAGAGGCTGAGATTGGTGTTCTGGACTCAACTGGCTGGGTTAGGCGGAAAGCAGGACCAATCAGGACTTTAGGCTGCTCGCTTCTGATTGGCGGCTTTGGGCCATAACACAAGTATAGAAGTAGGTTGAAAAAAGGCGTAAAATTCCGACACAATTACTTCATTAATTTAGAGAGACACAGGTTAGTGGACTGAATTGTTTGATAAGAAGCAGACTTTTTGGTTAGGATTTATAAGATAGTTGTAATCTATGGTTGAGTTACCACTGGCACTGATACTACTTTCAATGTTACTATGATGCAAACTGTGATAACTTGCACCACGTTATATGCTGTTTGCAACAATCACTGAAGAATGAAAGGTTGTCGTATGTTTATCCAAGTAAACTAGCCAAAAAATACAGTGTTATTGTATACTTAAGTGACTTACTCCTTTCAGGAGGACCGAAAAGATTAACATTTGATACATGATTAGTCAATCCAGAATGCAATGAATTTACATTGTTGAAGTTATGGGCTTCCCAAACGTTTGGTTCAAAAATCCTAATGAAATTAAGCGAGTTGACAAATTTTTTACCATTATCGTGACTAGATCAACTCAAAAATAGTAAGCATTAAAATAAATGCCATTCTCTACAAACCAACTAGTTTTAAAACTAAAAATCTTAACAACTTACAAATACAATAATTGGAATAAGTATTTTAATTTTAGAAAATGATTTGATAACATTTTAAGCAAAGATGAGTGGCAGCTAGCAGTGGATTCCAGAGTTGGTGTTTACTCCGGGGCTCCAACTCAATACCCTACGCTTCAAACGCCACCGCGTTATAAACTTAGCTACTGAGTTATGATAGCCACTGATTTGTAGAGTGGGATGGATTTTAGTTTTAATTCATATATATTGGTTGCTTCGATCTTTCCATTGATGTTTAGGACTGCAATCGGTCAGTCATTTTAGCATATGTGCATCCTGTCCAGATGACTTCAATATTGCCACTATTCATCTCTGCTTAAACTGCTTGTGACTTAATAGTAACGTCAAGGCGATCTGAACAAGATGCACATATATCAAGAAACTGATCAATCGCAGACTTGAACATCAATGAGAAGACCCAAACAACCAACATGTATGAGGTAAAATTAAGATTTGATAACAGTTAGACGGATATTGATATTGAAGTCCCAATAAAATTACTGGAGGCAGATACAACAAAAGTATTAATAGTTAAATTATCTCATAACTTGATATGTTTAAAACTTAGTAGGAACATGATTTAAAAGTACATTCTAATATTAAAGGTGCATCACAAATATTCACACCATTTAAAGGCTTATGTATTTTTCAATATCTCACAAAATCATATGTAAGTTGATTAATAAAAACCATTTGTAAGAGTATATGGTCTACAAACACTAAAAGCAAATTAGTAGAATACAGATACACGATTGATCAACTCTCAAGAAATTGAAAAAAGGAAAATTTATTCTTAAAACGCATCTCTAAAACCAAGCGAAATTAAATAATTGACTTATATCCTTCTTTAAGAATTTTGAGTTTTAGTGGCAATATATAAAATAGTCAATAAGAGTTTCCCAGAAAATCAGAATTTATAACACAACTCATAGTTGGCACTGCTGAAACATAAAACCGGATATTTTATTTCGTTTAAACTTGAGTTATAAGAATTATAGCGCCCTTTGAACTCTAGAACATTTTCAACGGTTAAATTTATGGTAGTCACATTGTATCGGCCTTCCAGTCAGTCAGGCATACATAACGTACAACCTGGCATATGTGGAATTCAGTTTAAGTTTCACATCTCATTAGAACGGTGAAGTGAAACTGTTACGGAGAATTCCAGAATAGTAGAGGTAGTAACAGTATTAGTGACATTAAAAAGATTGAAAATCAAATATACGATACGACAAAATATAAATTAGTGAGATACTCTTACAAGGAATTTAGAAACCTATGTTCTAAGGGAAGAAAAAGGAGTGAACCTCACCCTAAGTTTCCAACCGTTGGCTACGACAATCATGAAAAATCCTATCAGGCAGTCTGTACATACTTAAATGACTCAGTTTAACAGTCAGTCTCTTTATAGGCTGATGACATAACTTAGTTTAGCCGCCATTAGCTCTCTTCCCAATATACTCCTGCACCAACCATCAAGTATCGAGTTAGCCGGTGGATGGGCATATGCGATACGTATTTCAGTAATATCAATCAACAAGGATTCACTACACTGTCAACTGATTTGCTATTCTTACCGAATCGTTTGCGCCTAACTTCAGGAATGCTAACTTAATGGTCCCAAAACATACGAGCAATGCTTCGAAGACACCTCAGTCAGTCAGCTATAATGTAGGACCGGGCACATATGCGCATCGGTCCAAGTTGCCATAACTCATTAACACAAGATGAACACCGGATTCATAGAAGAAGTTAATTCAGTGGTGGTAATATATAAAAGAAAGATTGCATATAATGACATAGTACAGGAAGAAAGAATTAATTCGTAGAAAGAAAGATATGAAGCGATTTTAATCTCATAGTTTAAAGGAAGACAGAGAGTGTATACACAGACGCCATTGTGATCGACTTTGAGTCATATCACTCAGAGTCTCCAACAATTGATTACGACAGTCACGCGGACCCCAACAAAGTAGTCTGAATCTACCAACATGGCTAAGACTAGAAGTTAGTGACTTCAAGCACTGATGCCATGTTTCGGTTTGGCCGCCCCTGACTTTCCTCCAACCATCCCCAACACTAGTCAGCTTTGCGCATCGTGGTAATCGGTGTTCAGGCATACGCAACACATGGCCCAACAATCTCAGTCGATGAAGATTTACAACTTCATCAACTGACTTAACATCATTACACAATACCCTACGTCTAACCTCACTATTACTTACCCGTTGATCCCAAAAGACGTCAGCAATATTTCTAAAACATCTGTGATCAAATATTAGTATCTTACGAGTACCTCACACTCTTAGTGGCCATGTTTCGCAGCCGTAAAGTAAAACAGAACGGACTGCCGCGTCGTATACTCGTCCCTTAGTTGATAGACGGATACCTCGTCTTCGCCATAGGTGACGTAAGTTGGCAAAAGCCAAACAAGCTTTTCGAATCCGTGCTGAGATTTCGTCAGACACCAACCCATTAGGGCTGATCGGACTTTCACGATAAGTGAAATTGTCAACGCGCTCGACTACTTCACTCCCTATCCTTAGTTCAGGTGTTGACGCAGGCCAGTCCTAAAGCAACAACTTGCATTTAGAAGGGGAAAAGTGCATCCTAAATATTCTGGCATTTTTGCTCAGTGCTACCAAAGGACTCTGCGTTTTATCAGCATCTTCATTAAACAGGACTATATCATCTGCGTAATCCAAATCAATAAGCGTGCCTCTTGGTAAGAGATCGATCCCCGAAAATTCATTCAACGAGAACGTTATTTCCAGTAGCAGGTCTATGATGAAGTCAAACAAGAATGGAGAAAGTGGACAGCCTTGATGGACACCACTTGAGGTTGCAGAAGCAGACGACAGTTCGAAGACACGGCTCTACAAAGTATTCTATCATAACAGTCTTCTTGTATAAAAGCGCACCACTGAACGATCTTTCTTAAAAACAATATCAATAAATACCTGATTTTTAATACGTTTCTTTGATATGTTTGAGGAACTCTCCACTGTTGCCTAACGCTGCCGTCTTTTTAATCGCTTCTACCTCAGCTCCCCACTACTGCTAAAGATCATTACGTAACCTTTTTGACAGTTTACGTTTGAGTTGCCATTGCTTCTCACAATTTTCGGAGTCTGACGAGATGAGTTTCCGAGGGTATATCAGTTCAGTAGACACTGCTGAAATCCGCTGACTTTTTTACCTTTGATTATAGTCACTGTTTTCGCAGATGTTTGACTGGATATCATACCGACTCACATTGAGGTGAAAATAACTATCGAACTTATTCAACAATGAATCATGGAGATATGGTCTATTGTTGGGGTGATCCAGAAATTGCTTGCAAAAGACAAGCGAGCATCAAGAAACACTAAGTGTTTCGTTCAATCAGTGTTCACTTGGAGTCTTGGCCAGAAATATCAAGGTAGCGAAACGTCACATGCGGAAGCTCTGATTGGTTGGATACTACAGTGCTACTATGTTTAGTAGCATTCCGGAATATTCCAGCGACCCAAGGACATTTAAAGCATTATAAAAACCCTATATTTTCTGCAATAAAATGAACTTTGGAGTAAAGTATTTTCCCTCATACTTGCGTCTTCTCTCTGGTGTTCAAGTCGCTGTGTAGTTCTAGCTTGCGGGTTACCAGAATAGCTTAGGAAACTAATATAGCGTTCAATCGATAAGACTTATCATCTATTTACGTCAATCATTGAGTGGATTATTGGACTCGCCGTATCAGACAATGTCTTCATGATTACAATCGGTGCTTGCTAAGAACAAACAATAGTCTGAGCATAGTTGTAAAAGACTGTCCCCACTGTCTGTTAATTGATCCGGGACACTAGGAGACCCACCCACATGTCTTTCATCTTGGTTTAAACTACCTACTTAGACGTTAAGGTTGACAGTGACAATCACATTTGGGCTTTTGGTTTTTTTGTAAGAGAGCAAGAAGCTTTCTATAAAACTCATCTTTTACTCAATCCGAATTGCAGTCGTTGATAGTGTTGGGAGAAACAACGACATATCTTTCTGTGTTCTTGCTTTCCTACATAGTCGGACGGTACAAAAGCGATTTTCTATTGGAATCCCGTCTGGTAGAGCTTTTTCGCGACTGAAATTAGCGCTATGTCTGTATCAGCGAGGCCGCAAGATGTAGCAATTGAGTCTCGAAGTACACAGCAAATAAATCGCACTGCTTCTCTCTATTAGCTATATAAAATCAAGTGATTGACTACATTTGGATACTGTGTGTGTGTTTAAGGGACACAGAATACATCACAGGTACGGGATTCTAGAGTCCTAGTTAAGGAATCCCGTTGGCCTATTCGACATAACGTCCAACATTAAAAGCTTCAACATGTAGTTTGGAGTGCAGCTTCAAGAAGCCAGCAATAAAATCTCATGGACTCGAAGAGTGGCGATATATGGGGATAAAGTTGCGGGCGAAGGATTGATAGTAGTGATAGAAGGAAATATTAACAAGTGGAAAAAGATTTGGTTTAGTGACGGTAGAGGCATAAAGGCGGTTGTTACTTTTCGGTTGCCCACGGGACGAAAAGATCTTTTTTACTAAGGGAACTGAAAAGAGACCCGGATTAGTGATGGTCGTATTTACCTGGGAACGTCACCGCAGAGCCAAAGGGATAACTATTTGAGGTCAGTCGTACAGGGACTTGTGGGAATTTTTCGATGTGTTGGCTCTGCACTTCAAAAATCTTTACCTTCAGAAACAGAAATCTTTGTAGCAAGATGAGATGTGAAAATTTAGGGGTCAACTTTTCCTAACCTCTTCTTTTAGTTAAGAAAAGGCAGCATTGCTGCAGATTCTGGTTGTCTGAGAACACCTTACTGCTATCACACAGTATGACTACACCTTCGGATCACGAGTTTGCTGACTTTGGCTTTACTGTTCCTTAACCGAGTAACCTAGAATAGTAGGGTCTAAAGTAACAACTATTCCAGCTTATGTGGCTCGATCGGATTACTACGATGGAGAAGCCCTACCATCATGTCAGGGTAATAGTTACGGTCAGGATTGGTCTCTACTTACAATATGGATGTAAATGGGAGTAAATGAGCTTTACAAACAGTACTAATATTCCATATGACTGTGCTAGGAGTGGGTCTCGCATAACAATACCCAGTAAGCATCACTATAATTGATGTGACCAATGCCGTTTATTTGTTGAATGTGAGCATCAACAACATTCTTTTGTACATTCTAAGTTGTCACAAGCAAATAATTGAATAAAATTACAAGAGACAATAATAATTATTGGTTTTGAATCTAAACTTCAAAGATACTCCTAAGACAGAAATATTATCAGTTTAACGTCTTCATTACACTTCCTAGTTTTTCGGCGACTAAGAAAACTATTAAGCTTAGCATTGACTAGACAACTTACCTGCTCTGTATTGGAGACCAAACACATGCTCGCAAATCAACAGGAATCGACGACTAAACCCCAAAATGCACAAATAATAGATGAATTAGGACCATTACAACGGATTCTGCCACCTGGTAAAGATATTTTTCTGTCTGTTTCTAATTTGTGCGAAATCGAGTTGCACCTAAATTTGTCATCTAGATGTTCTAACTACATCCTACTCGTTAAGGAGGGTGATATTAAATCCATAAAATGAAATCAATATTTTGACAGTTTCACGCTAATTTAAAACTATATAACCTAACTTACTTACAATAGAGAAAATAATAAAACAGATCTACCTGCGTCGGATTCCTATATAAATGTTCTCTTAGATTCCTGAACTTTAAGAAATCTCGACATACGTTAATAAGGAAGAAGTGTGCTCAGCAGCTTAAGAACTTAATCTGTAACCCCCGATCGAAGCTGCTACCTTGACGCGGTGGTCGGGCTTGCCTATCGTGATGACCCAACCGAGCTATATTGGCTGGAACATATGTTCCTGCAGGTTCTACCATACCAGGCAGGTCGATTGGTGAACGGTAAGACTAAAAGCAGCAACTCGAGGTCTGAGGGCGAAGTCGTACTGCTGACTGTAGAGGGGTATGACAGCAGTAAGGTGTTTCCCTCGGACATCCAGCATGACAGCGATGCTGCCTTCCCACAAGGAGGGGTGGGGTTAGAAAAGGTCGACCCTAAAAATGTCACACCTCACCTTACCTCACGGATTTCCGTCTCCGGCGGTAAGGCCCTTTGAAGAACGGAGCTAACACGTCAAAAACCTTCCACAAAAAGGCCGTGCGCGACCGGCCTCAAGCCGTTGTCCCTTGGGCTCTGCGGTCACGCTCCCAGGTCGTCAAGACCAACACTAATCCAATTTCCTTTTCAGGTTCCTCAAGAAATACCCTTCCACGATGTGGGCAGCCGGGAAGTGCTATCAGCCCTCATACCCGTAACAGCACAAAAGACCAAGGTGGTCACATTCAAATCCTTCCTACACCTTCTAATACCTCTCTAATCTCCCCGACTAACCCTTCCCACGTCTCTTTATCACCTCGCACCGCTAGGGCAAACGATTCGAGTACGTGGAACGCCATTCCTGGTCTCCTGAAATCACGCTCTAAACTACACGTAGGAGCTTTTAACGTACGAACACTTTGCCAAATAGAACAGCAGGCTTCCTTAGCTAAAACTTTTGAATCTCGCGCCATCGATGTGTGCTGCGTCTCCGAAACGCGCATACAGGATCCAAGTAGCGTCATTCATTTGACCTCACCATGCCA